AAGGCTGTGTTCAGGCTATAGCCTTCAATTGATGCAAATTCAAAGGTCTTGTGGACCAAAATGTCTTTGAGATCTTCCAATGCTACCTCTACAGGATCATGGCTTGGCAACAAGATCTTCTTCTTTGCTACTATCTTCAGAACAAGGCATGTTGGATTAATTTGAAATAACTTGATCTGAACAAAGCTTGAAATAAATTGAGATGGTTTGATTCAAATAAGAAATGGAATAGTTTGATTTTGAAGAAGAATTGAATTGAAACAAATCAAATCACTTGAAGAATGGTTGAGTTTGATTATGTTCAAGTTGAAGAAATGTTGAGAAGGAAAAGGTGAATGGTGAATGGTGGTGGTGGTCTTTGAGTCGTACAGGGTACTCTGTACTGTAAAGTGGGACTTGTCATGAATTTGACAAGTTCTGTATGGGAAAGTAACTTTTCTGATTTGAGATAAAGGTGTTGAATAAATCACAGAATGCAAATTTTGTGAAGAAAATGGGCTACAAGTGGATTCTCAGAATGTCCTGAAAAATTGCATTTTACAAGCATTCTGTGAATTCCAGAATGCTTGCAAATAAGATATCAAACACGTTTCACGGAATGTGATTTCTGTAATTTACAGAATGCAAAATTTCACGGAAAATCACTTAAGTGAATGCGGCCTAAGTGAGTGAAGGCGCCTGAAGTTTTTGTGATTGATAGAAATGATCAACTAAAATTTATCTCTTGAAGCTTTTGGTTGCACTTGCATGATTGGTATGAAGGTTGAAATACACAATTTCACACATGAAATCCAACAAATGGGTATATCAGGCTGGAATTAATTGTTCAACAAGACATTCTTGAAATTTGGTCATATGGAGTATCATGAGTTGATTTGATCACAATTTTTGACAAGGTACAACATACTGATTATCAAAAGATTTCAAAGTCAGTTAAAAAATGATTTTCAAATAAACTTTATAAAGAAGTATGTACAGTGGGTGATCAAAAAGCTACGGTTTTTTTTTTGAAAAAATCAATCAATCAAATTTCAAAATTCACAGCTCTCCTTGTTGACCATCACCTCTCATATTCTCACCATGTAGCCGCTTACATCTGAAGTCAAAAACCAAATCATTGGAATGAATTTTCTTAAAGCAAGAAACATGGATATTGCTCGAGAATGTGGTCTATCAGCCAGCACAGTTCAAACTGTAGTTTCAAAGTTCAAGCTATCTGGCTCTGTTGAACGGAAGAAACCATCAGGACGCCCTAGAATTTTGACTAGTCGTGATCACCAACATCTGATCCAAGATATCAAATGGTCACGAAGATCAACTACTGATCAGCTTACCAAAAAATCAACTACTAAAGTGGGCAAGTGCACCATTCAACGTTCGTTGAGAAACCTCGGATATAACTCTCAAGTGGCTGCGGTCAAGCCATACTTAAATGCTCAACATATTCATGACCGTCTTGAGTTTGCAAAGCACCATAAAGATTGGACAGTTGAAGATTGGAGATCAGTAATTTGGACAGATGAATCAACGTTTGACGTGGGAAAATCATACGGCAGTGTGCATGTCCGACAAAAATCTAAAGAAAAGTATCAATCAAACTGTTTAGTTGCTTCTCACAAATCAGGTCGTTCAAGTGTGATGGTATGGGGTGGATTATATGCTGGAACTAAGCTTGATCTAGTGGTATTGGACTCAGGCAGAATGAATTCTGAATCATACATCAATCAAGTATGTGAACCTGTCATTGGACAATTCTTCGAGAATTCACCAGAGGCACATGGTCTAATTTTGATGGCAGATAATGCACCAATACATAACTCCAAACTTACATCTAATTGGCGTGATGAAAGAGACATTGTCAAGTTAATTTGGCCACCTCAATCACCAGATCTCAATCCAATTGAAAATATCTGGTCCAACCTCAAACATACGGTCTCAGATACAGATCCAATCCCTACACTTAAAACTATACCTACCATAATATCAAATGCATGGAAGGCTATCCCCTCTGAAAAACTTGAGCACTTAGTATCATCAATGCCTGATTGAATCAAAGCTGTTCTTGAAGCCATGGGTAAATCAACACGCTGGTGAAACATGCTCATATATTTGTTGAATGACAAGGTATGTTTATTTTGTCATATCTACAGATAGACAAGATGCTTACAATCCTTTTCATCTATTTACATCAGAAACATCATTTGTAAAATTACTATTAATCATTAAATGTTATAAAAAAATGTATTTTTATTTTTATTTTTTTGAAAAAACTGTAGCTTTTTGATCACCCACTGTACCAAATTTCAAAAGATTGGCAGGGTTTCAACTTTTAAGCCTGTGATGGTACACACTGAATTTCATTCTTGAGAGAAGAAGGAGTGAAAGGTACAGCTGAGAGATCAAAGGTGTTTTGAGGTCAGGAGATGTTGTCCAGGGATTTTGGAAGACAGAGAAAGAGGAAAAGATTCATCTTCTTTGCTCACTCTTAAAAGATGCTGACTCCTGGAACTCCTGGAAGTACATAGAAACATCTTCTCTACATAGAAAAAAACTCTTGAGAAATTTACAAAATTTCAAAATTGAATTCTCTCAGATACATGATTAGATTTGAGCCCTTCTTTGTATTAAGTACTTTGTGAAGATGATCAATTTGTTTCATTCTAAGAAGATTTTGGAAGTATCAAAACTTTGAGAAGAGAAGAAGAAGGTGTATGTTCTGTGTTTGAAAGAGCAGGTAGAAGAAAGAGAAAGAAGGGTAGGATCAATAAGAGAGCCAGGTTTGGATGATCAGTTGTGTACAAACATTTCAATGGACAACCTCTGAGTACTTCGGAGAGTTGCGGTATCAGTCTTTCACTGAGACTCCCTGAGACAATACCTGGCACATACAGGGATAGTACAATTTCTTCTTGAGTGGTGCGTTTTTTATTCTCTGAAATTCCGGGCGTCTACAAAGGTGTTTTTTGTAGGAAGCAAAGGCCAAGTCAAGAAAAAGGAACCTACATTAATTTGTGTAAAACATCAAATCAAGTGGTTGGGTAAGAAGAAGTTGCATAAGCTCTGTGAAAAGTAGACCCACCAAGACACAAATTGAGTAAAGCAAAAGAAATGATATAAAGAAGATTAAAATAATTAATTGCTCCAAAATAAAACAACAGTATAATTCTGAATGATAAAAGAAAACTATTCAAGATATCTTTGTAGTTCCTTTTGAAAAACAAGCTTTGTAAAATTCACCGCGCTGTTAGCCACATGGTCATAAAGGTCAAGAGCCATTACAAGGATCTAGAGCTTCAAAAATATCATTTCAAGTGGCAGTATAAACGATAGAAGGTAATGAGCCAGATAATCGAACGGTCAAATTTGATTGTGAAAACTTATAAGATTAGCTTCATTGGCCAATAAGAGGGAGATGCCAAGTTGGATTGTTTTCAATTCTGAGATTAGAAGCTGAGCTTAACAATATAGGATGGAAATGCTGAGGAACAGATTATTGAAGTTCATCTTGAAGTCGCTCTGAGTCTGATCACATTGAACATGAAAATGACAAAAAACCTCAAATTTCAATTTATCTTTCTATCATCCATTCTTACATTGATCGTGCAGCCACAAGATATTTAGGATGAAGAAACGAATCAATAATGAACTATGAATGGAGTGCCACCACAGCCACCACTCTTGACCACACTGTATGACGGGTGTACAGAAAGCCACTAATTTCTGTAGCTCAGAGAGTCTCAGAGAGAGTCTCAGAGCGAGAGAGTCTCAGGATAAGACTGATACTGTTACGCTCCCGAGTACTAAAACCTTGAACAAGCTAAGTACTTTGTAGTAGAATTGTGATGTGAAGAAGGGTGTGGAAGAAGTCTGTAACAAAGAAGATGGTATTAGATTACATGAGTGATGAAGAAGAAGAAGAAGGAAGTGGTACATCATCATATCAGAAGAAGAAGAAGAAGAAGAAGAAGAAGAGGACAAGCTTTTGAGTGCTTGAGGAGATAGTTGCACAACTTTCACCGGTTGACTCCATCAATACTTGCATGAATCTTTCCATTGTGTGCAGTGAAATTTTGACTTTTTAGTGCATGATTTGGACTCAAATAATGGTCCTGCAAATAACGGCAGCATAGAGATGGCTAAAATTCATAAAAAATCACCGGCGGCATGAAGCTCAGACCTTGGAAAATGATCATGTTTTGTTCAATCAAAATCAACAACACAAGTCATTGGTCCGTTTCCAGAAACAATGAAAAGGTGAATGGAAAGGTGACCCACCCAAAAGATGCTTTGTGATGACCGGGTGCACAGAGAAGGAATGATACAAATGAAATGCAGCCAATTGCAATGAATTCCTCCGCCATCATTCATTCAAACACAACATCACATAAATCAAGATCTTTGGCTCCGGAACCAAATCACAAACCACTGTATCTTTTGATGAGTGGTGTTGGGAATACTTCATGTCATTTGGTAAAAAAATGTTATTAAAATCTGGTCAAAATTTATAATGAGCAAATTTCATGTAGCCTTGAATTTTCACTACATTTCTATTATGACATATAAAAACCTCAAATCCAATCCAACCCATTGGTAAGCATTCCAGAAAATCCAACATGGAATGGGAGCATATCAAAGATTCATCAAATGAACTTGATATGGATTCAACAAGCATCTGGCCTTCAAATGAACAATGTGATTGAATTAAACACCCATCATGGTCATTAAAAGAAATTAGACACCTCAGAACCACCTACTGGAGCAAATATAAAATACATTCATTCATTCTCTCTTGTCAGACACCTTTTGGCAAGGAATGATCCAGATATTGTTCCATTTATTTTGGGTCTTTTCACTCTCCTGAAATATGAGATCTTAACTACGCTAAAACAAAGTCCAAGGCTCAATAAATTTAAGTTTTAAATATCAATTTAAAAACAACAATGAGACAAAGAAAGATGACAAAAAAAATTGGTGTGTAATAGGAAGTTAGTCAGAGGTGATCAATCAAGCTGAATTGGTTCATCCAGTTGGCCTGATGGCCCCTTGATTTTCTCAAATAGACTATTTGGCTGCGGCTGTTGGTCCATAGCATAGGAGTCTTTGTAAGTCATCTGCAGATGTTGGCAATGTTTATCACGTTTTTTACGCTCTGTGTCAGACATGACCGGTGATTGTGACGGAGATCCAAAACTTTCCATGCTGGTCACTTGCCCTACGTGTTGAGTTTTGCAACCAAGACAACTCTGATAGGGCTACAGGACACAAAGAATTTATAACAGCTTGATCTATCGGTGACATATGGTGAGTAACGGACTGGTTTGGCCTTGGAGTCATGATAAATCGATGATCTTCAATCTTGCACTGTATAGCGGGCAGAGATTCAAACTTGTTCTGTAGAGAAGAGGGAGATGGATCCACACTTTCCAGGGGGATAGCATGTATGTCAATTGTGTGATCATGGTGGTCCCATCCTGAGAGGCAACAGTGAGGTCAATCAATGTGAAACAATTTTCAGGTATGATTGCTGGTGTTGTTTCAAGTAATGCATCAGGGATTGTAAACTAAGTCTTTCCATGGTCTTTTTTGGCTTAGGTTGTGTGGCAGTCTGACTATTGACTCAATGCCTGGGTGGGAAAGTTTACCAGGCTGCATAAAGGCATTTGATCTTGGGCTTATAAGCCTAGGAGAGTACAAGAGGAATATCAACTTATCTCATCTGAACTCACTGATCTTCTAGATAAACTTCTCTTGCTGGATGCAAGTAAGAGATTGACTGCTGAAGATGCTCTTGATCATGACTGGTTTTGGATCTCCAATGGCTATTGATCCAGCCAAGTAAGCAATGTTCTTCTTTCCATCAGATCAAGCTGCTTTTCTCACTGAAGTTGTTGATCCTCATTGGTAGGTTACCACATTATGAAACCTTCACATGAATATGGTTATGACAATGAAGACAACCCCCCAACAATTGATCCAAAATCAGTTTGCCATGTTCAAGGGCCTACAACTGCAACTACAACCACAATTGGTTCATCCTCTGCCTGCAAGACCACCCCATCCACCACTTCCATATCAATCCATGTTGTCTTCAACATTCCATCACAATCTTCATCAACCCAACATGTCATCTCACCTGACTTATTGACCTCCTGTGCCAACACCACACTCAAACCACATGGGTAATACTCATGTGTCTCAAAATCAACCTGATAGAAGATATGATCAACATCATCAAAACTATAGCAGCCAAAATCACCAAAATTTCAAGGGGCAGGGTGGATGAATGCTATAAGAGAGTTGAATACCATGGTACATGAAGTCTTTGGTCTGAAGACTGAGAGAAAGCATTTTTTGAAAGTGTACCACATTTGGAAGTTGGTGGAAAAGGTTTTGGATGAATAGTCATTGTATTGATTAGTACTGATACCTGATACCTCTGATTTCATGAAGTAGAATCATCAAGCTGGTTCTGAACCTCTTCCTGTTGATGTTGTTTGGGTATCCAATGTATTTGAACATGAGCTATAAAGGTATGAACTTTTTAAAGGATTGTTTGATCAAGGTGATTCCTTTTCAATTAAGAGTTGAGTAGTTTGATGTCCAATGTTTGATCTTGAAGGTGTTGTGCTGAAGCTGAAAGGGGATTGTGAAATTTTCCACTACACATCACCTTTCAGATACCCACAGTTAGGAGTAATCAGCTCATGGGCCAAGCAAATTACCAACTTTTGCATTGCGGATTGAATTGCAATCTGTAACCCAAACCACACAAGACCAAACTGAGCACTTGAAGTTGGGGCAACCAATCATTGATCCATCAATTCATCAATCAATCAATCCATCCTTCAATTCATCAATCAATCCATGAAACAGTCACTCACTGGCCCTTTGAGAGTGTTCTGATATAGAATAGTGAGTCTTGAAGCTGTTGTCTCTCTTGGAAAACAGGAAAATAATTGACTTGTCCTTCCACTCTAGCTTGAAGGACCAGTACTGGTCCCCACTGTAGAAATTTTGGCTGATTGCTATGCCAAGACTCTGCAGCAGCAGATTGAGCAAGTGAAAACCACTTACTCAATCATGCAATACCCCAAAGAATGTGTCAGCATCACGATCATCAGACACTTCAGTGGTGACTATATCATGTTGAGCAATTTCATATCCGCACTACTCAAAAAACAAGGCAAAAAAAGATGCTGGGAGTGCATCATAATTGCTGACAGGGAAGCCTGCACGGGTTTGAGGGCAAAGAAAGATGCTGGGAGTGCACCATAATTCCTGGTAGGAAAACCTGCATGGGTTCAAAGGCCAAGCAAAAAGATGCTGGGAGTGGGGTTCGAACCCACACAGGTTTCCCTACCAGGAATCATGATGCACAACAGTGCTGCATTCTTAAATCTGGCTCCTTGGACTAACTCGGACATCTCAGCAGTGATTTTGACAAATCAAGCAATTTTGAATTTGCACTACTCAAAAAACCTGTCATGACAGCAACAGCTTGATGATGTAAAGAGCTGTTGTTAAGTGTAGAAGACATATGGTTAATGGTCTAGGTCCCTCCCAGTCCTCTTTTGTCAATTGGGTAGAGGATACTAGAGGATCAAGTCACACCTCAGGCATGTAAGGTTGGTACATGAGGGTTATCACTCAGTAGCAAAGGTTGGGTGCTTGAATTCTCAATGCTCACAACTCTGAGCCTTTGTGGTTTCAGGGGGTTGAGAAGTATAATCTTCTCAGGCCTGTTCTTGACCTGGGGTTGGTGATTCTAGGATGCGGCTTTAGTCCCCATATGATCTCACCTCTCTTGGGACTAGCCATACACCACACTCAAAATGGTTCACTAGTCTCAGGGGAAGAAAAGTATCCCACTGTGGTAGGACTTGCCAGAGTAGGTTAATTAACTGCTAGTTACAGAGAGTTAAAATTACAAGGCACTACCATATATCTACTAGATCCCCTCTGACTTGAACTTGTACTCCTCAAAGGATGAATGGAACACACATTTTAGATGCAGTACCCCAAAAGAAAAATTATGAACACATGGACTTTGAATTACATAGATTGAACAATAGATTTTTTTCCGTTTGTTTTTCCACTCTAAACGAAATTATGATGATGATGATGACCAACAGTTCTTTTTTTATGAGTTTTCTTTTCTGATTTTCTTTTTTCAAGATAACCAGGTATAGGAAACCCATAAAATTCTCTCATTAAAGGAGGAATAGAGATCCTAGATTTTTTAGGATTCTCAGTTTTAACTTCAACTTCAGCTTTGGAGTTAGGTTTTGGTTTTGGTACTGATTCAAACATTAACACCTTAGTTATATTTTGACGTTTCCTACTACGTAAGATTATAAAACTAATGATTCCTGAAATTAATAGGAAGATTATGGTAATGATTGCTGCTATTTCTCCAGATCCTATGGTGGGATTTGAATGTTGAATGGTTGGAATCTTTTGGTTTTCTTGTGCTGAATATACAGATTGTGAGTATCCCTGTATTGTTTTTTGACCTTCTGTCTCTGTTGAACTTGGATTATTAGTTTGATTTGTTAAAGCTGTCTGGCCTGTCTGTAGATCATGTGATTCTGAAGTCCCCTTATCTAGCTTATTTCTCAGGTCTTTGTTCACTGGGTTTATTTCTTGTTGATTTGAGACCTCTTTGGGTGGTGCTTCTTTTGATGCTGCCTCCTTTACCAGTTCCGCTTTTGTCGGTGCCTCCTGTACTGGTGCCTCTTTTGTCAACTCTTTCACAGGTCCTTCTTTCATTGTTTCTTCTTTCTTTGGTTCTTCTTTCAATTCTTGAATTCCTTGAGGGTTTTCTGAAATATCAGGATCCTGTGTTTCTGGTTGACCATTATTGTCTGGTTTGTCTTTTGGAGTAGTGTTATCAGAAACGTAAGAGTTTGAGGCATCCCCGGATTCTGGAGTTGGTGACATCACTTCAGGCGGAAGGGTCTGGATTGGATCCTTGGGTTCTTGAGGGGGTGGGCTCTGTTCAATAGGACTAGGCTTGGGATTATTTTTTGCTGGTGCTTCAACTTTTGCAGCCCCATGAGGTTCATTTACTGGGTTAGGAGGAGGTGGTGGTGGTGGTGTTTTTTGGTTTGTTTTGTCCTTTGGATCTTTTAGTGAGTTAACTACTGAATCTATTAAATTGACTACTGGTGAGCCTGCTTTATTATTCTTTATAAGTTCCGGAACTTTTTCTATCACTTTATCTATGGTTTGTGTTGCACTTTCACGATCTTTTGTTGAGAGCGTTGGTAAAATCGCATTTAGAGCATCATTTATTACATTGGAATTTGATCCTCGTGTTACTAGATGTCTTACTTTTCTCATTCGATTTTTATTTGACATTTTGTACTTTGTGTTAGCCTCCAAATTATCAATCAAAGTGTTGGTTAGAAGTGATGGGTATGTTGGTTGTCTGGGGTTAAGGTTGAATATATGGACAATGTGTCGATCCAATGTCACTGAAAGATATCTGCAACTGATGTTGAAAAGATAGTCTTTATCTGCGAAAAAGATGACAAGAATGATCCTGTTCAGCTTCACTGTGTTGTCCAAGAAGGACTCAGAAAGAATGCAATCAAGAGGGAGATTTTGTTGAGGTCGAGTGTGCTCACATTTATTTAATCCCTGACGTTCCGTAGCATAAGACTCTGGCTGAGCAGAAATTTTGCACAATGATTCCTCGTTGATAAACCTTGAAGTACTGTTTGAGATTGCAATCTGATTTCTTTCAATATGAATTGGGGGTTGAAGTAAAGTCACAAGTCGGATGGGTAAGCTGTAGTAGCAAACCTCTAAACTCTTGAAGATCAAGAAGTTGGAAACCAAAGACTGAGGGAATGTAGACGCCTCAAGAAGGCGATCACAGAATTCCCGGAGGCCGTGAGCATGTGATGGAAGAGAAGCGCAAAGGAAAGTCTTGGTCGACAGTTTCAAGTTCTGGGCTTCAACTTCACTATATAAAGCTGGGCTATAATTGTGATGTATGCGAGTCTGTACTCCAATCATCGTGAAGGGCTCGTTCACGCAAAAGCCTCCTTTCGATATCTCCAACGTCGAAATCTCACCTTACCATCAAGCGTATTAGAAAATTCATGGATACCTCGACGGAGAGTTCTGTCTCTCGTTGCTAACGTTATCAAGACCAAAAGAAAACCATGTGCCTAGGAGCCGACGAGCTCTGTAAGGAACTACTTGCAGTGCCAATCATCACTCACTCTCTGCTACCACAAGTCGCCCCAATCTTCGAATTCAACTTTTGCGTTACCACGTATAGACTCTGAAATGTCTCGCACCTGGTGCAATATTTGATTCATTGATTGGCAATTTGGTTGCATTTTCTTTGGGAATATGCACCCGGTGTGTTCATACAGATGCACCAAGAGAGAGCGCGTCAGGGGCTGGTCTGGGATGTCATCCTTGAGACTGCTATAGCTCATCCAGGTCAGGGTTGCGTGAAAAGGTGACCCGACCAATGCTATTTGCTGCCGGGAGCTCTCCCACTCCAAAGGCAAATGCCATAGCAGCCCATTCTACCTACGATGAGTGTATTACGGAGGTCAATAAAGGAAAGGATCAATAGATGAGGTCAATAGCTTGGTGTTTAAAGCAGACAAGATGGCAACACAAGATGATATATATCCCAAATATTGAAGACAACATCTAGCCAGGTACAATGACTTTGCTCTTATCTTATCCTGTTCTTTGATTATGATCCTTGAAATGGTCAACAGTTCTTTCCGAGATATATGATCTTCTAAAGTCTTGAATACTATGTAGAAAACCACTAATAAATTTGAACTTTGAGCAGCTCATGACCTCTGGACACCAATGATGATACTACATACATACGCCAGACCCACAACCAAGGAAGCAACCATGAGCATAGCATTTGGCTGTCCCCGTGATCCCACTGCAAGCTATTGCGGCACATCCTGACTCAGAATTTCGCCATCCATCATCAGCACCAAGTTCGCTGGTTGATGGTCTGATCCTTGAAAATCCCATGAGTTCTTCTCCATCCTCTGCGATTTTACACATCGTGGGTACGATTGAAATAGTCGAGATCAAGCAAACTAGAATTATGTTTCTTAATTGTGTTCCGAACATGGTGATGATGGATATCGCACTATAGCAAAAATATATAAAAGGTTATATGAATCTATCAGTTATCATTGAACAAATATGTGTCAAAGTTTCAATAAGACTGATCAACCGCGAGCTCCGCGACAAATGGGATGATCACTCACGGAATGCGTTCGGGAGCGGGTGTGTGTGGAGGTTGGTTTGTTTTGTGGTGGATTGAGTTGATTATCTATCAAGTTAAATTATGGTATCCTCAGTATATGTGGCTGATAGATTTATGCTTTTACACCTCAAGTCTGCGTAATGTCATCAGGAGATCAGCATGATGCCAACAATGACTCACAATTACTCAAGCAAGTTTAGTGAATGACAAAAATGAACGTTGATATAATGATAGATTTGAATGTGATTTGATTCAGGTATCAAGTTGAGAGATCTCTGGAGTTGAGTGCTTGAACGACACGAGAATGAGAGGATTTATAGCAAACTTGGCATTTTTCCGCTAGAAAACTTTTTCCGAAAGAATTTTTTTACCTATCTTGTAGTTTAGAAACTTGGAAAGTTTACCTCACTAGAGGTCTCAGCTCTTGACTAGATTGCAACATGAGTCAGAAGAGACTTCTTTGGCTTAATGTCTTCAATGAGCTCGGAGGACTGAGTCTGAACCATCTGCCAGTTGATATTCCGAAACCAAACCAAAAACTTCTCGCTGGGAAATGGGTTATAGATGAAGTTAGACTTGGTGAGACATCAGCGATGGGATGAAATCGATTCCCCTTTCAAATTCCACCCTCAAAGCGCGCTCGCAAAATGTGATCAACCTAGACGTCCCCTGGAAATCAAACACTATGATAAGAAACGTGCTGCTCCTCAAACCAAGGAAAATTTTACAGGGAGGTCTTTTGCAAGACAAACGATTGCTCATAGTATATTGCACAGAACACTGGTTATTTTGCAGAAAACAGGACAAACAAAAAACTACCAGACTTCCTATCTGAAGACTTGGACATTCATGATCACCACTCTTTCAATTTTTGGGCATCTACTAGTTTGTTGCGTGTCTTAAACAAGAAGCTGTGAGCATGATGCCTCATAAATCTATTGTGTTGGACGATATTTTGATTCAATCCTAAGATCTTTAGCATGATATCATGAAGCTATTGATCAAACTTTTAGAAACTTTCTGTGGAAACGATATTTTTGCATTTGCTATGGTATATGTGATTTAGGCTGAGCCCCGACCCCCAAAACACGGGTAGCGGCCGATCAACGCACTTGTGCAGTGTCAGGGCCCGCCTGGATACATTTGGATGGCACTTCTTGAAACCTGGGGACCATCATAGACCTGGTCCACATTCAAACCAAATTTTTTACCTCGATGGAGTACCAATCAAATTCTTCAGAAACAGTTCAAGCTTTTCTTCGCGCTTCTGCCTTCATTTCAAATCATGAAGTTCAATCAAATATCTCTCAACTTACCACTACAGACAAATTACAATTTTATTCACTTTTCAAAATCGTCACTACTTTCGGGGGTGGACCGTTAAGAACGCCTTCTTTTTGGGACTTTGAAGGCAAAGCAAAGTTCGAAGCCTGGAAATCTACAAAAGCCAGACTCGAAGGTCTTATTGAAGATGAATCTCGCAACTCTCTTGTTGAACTTGCTGCTCGAGAATACATTGAAAAGGCTAGAGAAATAGGATGGGATGACATTTCTTCAAAATCTACAGATCCTTCGATTACTCAAGATTGGAAAACTGGAGATTCAACACAGAAAGGTCTCACGATGGAGCTTTCTAGGTTTCTAGCAGAAGGTGGCTTGAATGAACTCCAAATCACCAATGAAGAGATCGATCAAGATTCTGATGATGAAAGCACCCCGGACATCTCACACCAGATTGAAGATGAGAATTGCTCCCGAGACGAATACGGCTTCGAGATTGATTCTACATATGAACCAAACACTTCTGATACTGAAATTAATCAACAAGGAATCAAGGCGCTTTCCAACCTTTCGCATTCAGAACACAATCCACCCGGCCTAAATATGATTTCTGTTTCCAAGATGCTGAACGCTGAAGAAGTAAACAATAAATCATCAGAAGGATCACCGTCTCTTCATGATTTAATCATCGAAAATAATGAAGTCGGTGTCAGGGAATTCATCGATGATGCATTGCAGACCAATGGAAAAGGTCCACTTGAATGCATCATCAACCAGTTTAATACTGATGTGTGTTTTTCAAACATTTCTCCATCTTCTGTCTGCCCCTCACTTGTCTTCCGAATATCCTGTTGTGTTATAAAGGGTCTTGTCCACCTCGATATGCTTTGGAATCAAACACACTACTTGGACTCTTTGTCTTTTGAGTCCAAAGGATGTGACACAATCTCTCAGCTGATCAGTAACCATTGTGATTGTGATTGATCGCGTTCTTATAGGGGTACACACCACTTCATCTCGCCTGTGATCGAGGTCATATGTCTATCGTCCAGCTACTGATCCAATCAGGCGCTAACCCATGTCTCAAAGATCAGCAGGACGATCTCACCGCTCAGGAGCTAGCCCGTGAAGCTGGGATGGCTGAGGTCGACAACTACCTCGATCAATTCGTAGCTCAACCTTGAGCCTCCGCCTTCGCTCGTGCGCATATGCGGTTGATCTTACTTAAACGGGTGACGATTAGCTTGACGTAATGAACCCCGAAACTATAAGACTTATATATAAGATTTTTACGATTTCAAGTTACCACATTATGTTGCTTCAGATATGGTGAAGAGAGTATGGACCACTTATATCCTATTTTCATGATTGGTGGGAAGACTGCATCGAGTGATGATGTGATTTTTCGGAGTTGGCTGCTTGAGAGATGGTCGAACCTGAGTCCTATAAACCCTTGAAGGATGCCCTGCAGTGCAAGTGAACCCAGATTGGTCATGGTACTGTTTCCGTCCTCTACCTAGGGTGGTTTAACAAAAGACCAGTATCCCAAGTTCAAGGGGCACGTTTGTTCACAAATACCAGAGTAAATTTCCATGAATATTTTGCTCGTCCTCTATGATCAAAAGATATGTGCGGTTGTTTCCATAAATATACACTTGGAGGGATACTTGGGTGGATGTGGGGAAGATTATTCGGACCGGAAATGTGACACAATCTAGCCTCGGGTAAGCTGAAGAAGGCACACCTGCGTGAAATCTACATCTCCAATTCTCTTCGACCGCCTTCGACTGGAATAGAGAGGCGCCAAAAGGTTCATCAAGAAATCGGCCAATTCCTATGAAACCAAAGAAAATTGAAACCACTCAAGTGCCGTAATGAGAAAGTGGCAATAAGGTTTCTAAAGATATGCATATGATGACTTCAGCATTAAGTTTCAAACAGACACACAAAAGGTAAACTTACATTAATTTTTGAAAAACTGTGTCATGAAAGGATTGTTCTGTTAATCCGAATTCGGCTCTACAAAACTGCCTTGGAGTTTAAATGTGATTCAAGTAAATGTCGGTGTCCTTCAGAAGAGGTTTAGAAGGGTGGGGGTTGAGTTGCCGTCTGTTGCTGTAATTTGAGTATCAAGCAGGCCTTCTCTATTCTTCTTTGACTGTGAGGGGGGGAGTTTCACGCACAAGGGTCCATGCTTCCATCAAAGCATCTATCATTGAAAAATATTTTCTTGTCCATCTTGACGACAGAAAGACAGAAAGTTGACAAATCAAGTCTTTTGTGTCGCCAGTTATTACCACGCTCGTTTGACCTTCTTGTATAGCAGCTACCCAGTCACCTCTTGAGTCTTGGTAGACTTTAGTGGTCAAACATCGGTTGAAACACTTTCCCGATCCCTCAACCTTTTCTTTTACACTTTCTCATTTTCAAACATTTTTTTTTGATCTATTCACTCTCATTGCGAAACTTTCAACCATGTCAATCCCACACAAGGGAACTTTTTCATCTCTTCTTACCAGTTTGATCAATCTTTTATCATTCCAAATTTTTCTTACGAGTGCTCAAATCGTTCCTTTACAACTCAATGATCTTTCGAATGTTCTTCCTAAACCGGCTGTACCACAACGAGGCGTTTCTTCGGTGACTCCTCAAAAACGAGGTGGGTTTGTGTCAACCAAAAATGGTCACTTTTACCTAGGCGAGAATTTGTTTGATTTCCGTGGTTTCAAGTAAGTAGATATTAAATCTGTTTCTCAACCTGAACATCAGAAACTGACCCTTTTGCTCTGAATTATCAGTGGACCTACCCTTCTTGATGGTGAGTCTTGGTGACATAAGCACTCAGCCTTGACCAGAGTCATGCAGCGATTTTCACTCGGAGCTTATGTACACCATTTTTCGACAACCAGGAACGATCTTTGAGAGCACAGATCTCGTAAAGTCAATTGCAGGTTTTGCAACTCCGGTTACTAGGACTTACACACTCACAGTTGCCAATAAAGTATTTGGACTTTCCAAGGGCCCAGAGGTTGCCCACATCACTGGTTGGGACAATAGCACTCAAGGTATGCCAGCTTCAACGATTTACAATTTAAATGCTACCCAGCAATAGCTTATGCTCTTGATCAATAGATTGGATTTATAACGAAGAGACATGGCGACAGATGGATAACGCGTACGGTTATCATGAAATCTCGAGTATGCGTATTCTAAACTGAGCTCACGGTCACTTATTCGGATTCCAGTCTTGCTATCGCCGCCGAACACGGAGTCAAAATCATCATGCCAATCATCAACCAGGTAGGCTTTCCTCACCATCATTGTCTCAGTAGGTACAATTCGGCGTTCTCATCAGACACTTATTTGACATAGGACTATGGAAGCTCGGACACTGACTGGGTTGGAAACTTTATTGATGTGAGTGACTTATCGTGGTAGCTTCACACCTCACTTGATATATAAAAAACACTTGAATCTTGACCTCAAGTGATTTATTCCTCGATCAGTTAATTCGATATAGGTTCAATATCACAGAGTACACCACAGCTCAAGTTTCAGTAGATTGGTTTGTGAATTCAAGCATCAGAGAAGACTTCAAGAAGATCATCAAGAAACTTTTAACTCGAGTGAATACTGTCAATGGACGTCTTTATGGTAGAGATGATACTTTTTTAGCTTTTGAAACAGGAAATGAGATGAATTGGGCAGAAGTCTTTGTAACCTCTAATTCGACTAATGGAACTACGAACGGAAATAGCACTGGAGCTGTTAATGCAACCGATGCCAATGCAACTATCAATGGAACTGTTACTTTTAACCGTGAGTGAAATGTCTTTTGTCCAAAACACTTTCTCAGCCCAATTTTCTTCTTGCTAATTTTATATTGTCCATTCCATAGACACCCGACCTGCTCCAGCAGAGGTGAGAGAAATTGCTACTTTTATATCCTGTGATGTTTGCTGAAGCTTTATTTCACTACAGTGGACGATTGACATTGCGAAATACATCAAACAATATGCTCCACATACCCTAGTTATGGACGGAAGTTAGTAAGTGACCGATGGTTTCGTTTCATCGCCTTTCAACTGAATTAATGTATGAACCATTTCAAGCTCCCGAAACCCTCAAGATACCTGGCCAGAGGAAACGTTAAAGTCCCCATATGTCGATATTTTCTCATACCATCTGTGTAAGTTTGGAAGAGCCTTTCTTCAATATTGGACCAAACGAACCTCTCTACTTTAGCTCAATACGTTTTTTTGGATCGGAATATAGATGGTGACGGAGATATCCTACTCTTCAACGCGTAACTCAACTTATACTATACCTCAATGATTTGGTCATCAACTAATCCGATCCTTTGAACTATAGATTAAACGAGCGGGTCAAATCGTTTGGTAAAACATTCGTAGTTGGCGAACATGGATTCTGTAAGATATTCTATACATTATCAATCACAATTCATCAACACTAACACAACTCATGTAGATAACAACGAGGCTTCATTTGAGAAAGCCTACAAGACCTTTACGTGTGCTGGTGCTCTAGCTTGGAGTTTACGACCACACGCCGAATCTAATGGATTCATCACTCATAGTGAATCAGATAGTGTGTTTAGTTACGTGCGTAAATTCTTTGAACTTGATCATCAACCAAATGAACCACTATCCGATTCCAATACCTCATCTTTGATCATAAAAACTCTAAACAGCACGTTCCGGGTTGGACTAATTCTACTGCTTCAAACTTTGATCCTCGAGAAGCCGGTATTGTAGCGCTTACATACAAATCCAGGTAAAAGCTATTTCACTCCATCTCAACATTAAGATTTTGACTCAAGCTGGTATACTTTGTCATCTATTTGATAGTTTTGAAATTCTAAATAAACCTGTGGCACCTTACCCAGTACCTGCTTCACCTTTACCTTATTTTGGTACTAATGGTACTCATATCGGGATCACTTGGAAAGGAGCTGCTTGGGTACGTCAATATATCTTATATCTTTTCAGGAAGAAAATGTTTTTCTTAATACTGAAATAGATTTGTTTTTATAGGCTCAATCTTACCAAGGTAAATTCTTATAACTTACCAACATAATTTTCAGAAAAAAACATTTTCATTAATTCACACACTTTTCTTCAATAGTTTGGGCATCCGAAAGTGATGGTGGAGGATTCATAATGGTAAAGTTTTTTTTCCTTATCTTTTTCAATAAATCTCAAACCCTCATTAAAACTTCCTAACACAAACTCGAATAAATAAATATATTTTCAGGTTGCCAATGAAATTCACGATAATGTAGAATCAGGAGATCTTTTCGTTCCAATCGATGTAAAAAGCCCAAAATCACCATTGCAGATCCCATACAAACCTCAAATCCATTATCCAGAACCCATGCCAATTTGGCGTGATACAAAATGGAGTAATCAACCATCAAGAAACCCAAATGAAGTTCAAAAACTAACCAAACGTCATACAATCTCCATTCCAAGAAAACATTCTAAACTCACTAAACGTCAAAATCATCCACAATCTGTTCATTCACGTACTAAAGGTGGTTGGTTTATTGTTAGAGGAATCAGTGTTGATGGTTTACCTGGTCCTTTCTCTGAACCTACTTTTATCCCATCAACATACTCATAAACCTAATGTGATTTTCACAAACCATTCATTTAGTGATAGTGATTTATATATACCCATGTTTGATTTTTTTTCACATCTATCTTTTCCAAAAATTTGTTGTCTTCTCACCTTAGTCAGTCTTTGAACAGTAAGATAAAACCCAATTTCATGAAACAAAATTATATTGAACATTTTAAAACATCCTACACATTCTGATAAACATTGAAATTTCCTTAGATCTGAGATCCTTTGAAAGTCTTTTTCTTAGGGTCTTTGACTCAATCGTTTATGCTTGAACACATATCACTCCGAATTGTAATCTGAATGGACATTAGACTACTAACAAGAACTGCAAAAGCATGATCCCTCCCACAATTCTTACTAGGACTCATCCCAGCGCATCCAAGGTAGACCTTTAGTGATTTATATATACCCATGTTTGATTCTTTTTTCACATCTATCTTTTCCAAAAATTTGTTGTCTTCTCACCTTAGTCAGTCTTTGAATAGTAAGATAAAACCTATTTCATGAAACCAAACTTTATTGAACATTTTCAAAACTTCCTACACATTCTGATAAACATTGAAATTTTCCTAGATATGAGATCCTTTGAAAGTCTTTGTCTTAGGGCCTTTGACTCATTCATTTACAGTCAAATTGGAAAAGCTTGGCTGATTTTGCCCGCAAAACTCGGGAGCATCGGGATTCCGGATTATCTGTGAGAATTCTCACTGAGAATTCTCAGGTCATTATACAGAACCACTTATAGACATACATGTATTTTCACATATCCTTGTAGCCGGACGGACCGCTCCCAATTTGCTGCGCGTGAGTTCCGTAGCCCCGAGCGTCACACCTCCAGCAACCCATGGTTCACATGCCACGCGACTTTTCAACCTGTCTGAATTTCTCATCTTTGCAAGTTCAACGTCCCTCGCCAACCCACATCAAATGAATAAAACTGAACTCATGTTCAATTCAAGATGAACCAACATACCAAATCAATGATTCAATCGAGCCAGAAACATGGGAACAATCATCAAAAACTGCTAAATCACAATGAGGACAACAAAAAGTCGGATCTTTGAATGACAAACTTATGAAATAATCGAATTCAATTCAGGAGATCATTCATGTTTTTGCTTGAGATGGAAATCAAAAAAAATAGAAAACGGTTTAAGATTGAATTAGATGCGCTTGTTCAAATCAATAGACATAGAAAACGATCAACTCAACAGATCAAGATTCAAAATCCTTCCTCTTTATCTCAACATATCATCAATCAAGATTTAAGAGATGGAAGCTCGCAAAATACTGACTGATTTGAGTCGAAAGTGGCAGGATTCAACTTCAAGCGATATTTCACTTGAATTTCAATTTGATCACCAAAAATGAGTCAATGAGAGGTATAGAATTAGAGATTTTACTGGGACTGTGGTGTAAGTCGAAGCATGCAGTTTATTGTATATGTCCATCTTGTGATTGACATGAGGAATTTCACTGATGAATTATTTTAAATTTTATTTGCCTTTAACTTTAACTTTACCATTCTATTGTTTTTGTTTTGTTTTTTTGGATGACTAACTTTATATTTAACAAGAAAGCACAAAACAAGTATAAAAAGGTTTTTGGATCCAAAAAATTTGAATGAGTTTGAAAAGAAAAATTCATCAAAAGGTGATCGAGTTACTAAAATCAAACTTGAGTGAATCGCTTCATCTGGAGTGTAATTATTATTATGTTTCTCTTTGTCTTATTTTTCTCTTTTGTTGTCCTTCTTTCTGATCATCAGAATGCAAAATAACAACAATCAAAGTCTTTGTCTTCTTTCGCATTTCTACTTTTTGGCAGGTGATCTTTGAGTGTCTTGTTTGAGGTGTGTGTGTTTTTACCAAGACCCCCGAAACGAGAATTGAGGTTTCCTTTGCTCAGCATTTACCCAGACTGGTGCACCTAAGAGATGACAGTGTTTATATTTTCTCATTACATTATATCTTGATTGTCTCTAACCTGATATCTTCCTCATTTTTGTGTGTGTTTTGGGGGTATTGATATATGGGATGAACTCATTATATCAATTTCATGACAATGCTGTAGATCTGAAGCCTTCCTTCTGCTTTAATTCCTATGGTGGATTGATACCAGAATCTCTTATCAAGACCTGAATCAACAAAATTGAGGGTATATACGTGATAAATAGATGTTTTTGTGATGATTCACTCATATTGATCAAAGATGATCAAAGACCGTATAATTTGAACGAGATGGCTGGGATACTGAGTCAGATGAGGTCAGATGGGTACACGACTATGTATGTCAGTGTACTGTAGACCCATGAAAATGATTTGACTGCAGCAGCTGAGGGTCACGTGTGCCGCAGTCCAGGATCAAAAGTTTGGATACAAGCATCGGGCCTAACGCCTCTGTACGTGTTTCAGATGTATTCTCAGCTGGGCTCTGAGAATTCTCAGCCATAATCCGGAATCCCGATCTACCCCAAAACTCGAGCAAATTGGCGGGGAATTTGTGACAAGCTTTTCTGGTTTGACTGTATGCTTGAGCATATATCACTCCAAATTGTAATCTGCATTGACATTAGACTACTAACAGAAGAACTGTAAAGGCATGATCCCTCCCACAATTCTTATGAGGACTGATCCCAGCGCATCCAAGGGACCTTACCAGTTCAAGATATACCACTTGACTTTACTGTCTCAGGGGCTCGTCTATTCTGGAAGAGAAAGGGTACAGATAGAATTTTATCAAGGTGAAAACATCTTGAATAGATACAACACACAAGGTACAAAGTCACACTTTATTGCAGAATAAACCTCAGACAACATTCCGCTGGGTAAAGGAAATCACATTTTTTCAATAATGATTCTAACCGCATCAAAGAGCAGTCACTTTTTGATAGGCCAAAAGATAAATCAAATTGACCACCAAACTTCAAAGTCTCTTATTATCGATTTTCCTTATGATAAATATGTATGTAACTTCAAACATGCATCAAGGTTTTCCTCACCAATAATCAATAGTGGCTCTCAAACCTGACCCAGTTTCAAAAAACCCGGTTGCCCCAGTTGAATTTTTGGCTGGGAGCTGTCAACAAATGTCAACTTGATACACAAAGTTACTGCCAAAAAACAACTGGGTCAACTGGGTTTTTTGAAAACCGGGGCAGGTTTGAGAGCCACAAATACATCCAATCAACTAAATTCCGTGTACAATTCATCCACACAACAACCAAGTAATTCTTTTCTCAAGAAACCTCTTTTACTCTGACCACCAATTAAGCTACATAGCTCAGTGTAATTCATACGTGCACTAAAAGACTAATCCTTGCTAAATTTCATAAAAAACAAAAGAGATCCGAAAAAAAACTTGAATAAAATGAAAGAGATAAATGTAAAAAAGCAAAAACGAAGGACGACAAAAAAAAAGAACTGATGATAAAAAAAAGTCAAAAGGAAAACCAAATTTGAAATCCCAAGTTGTGATGTAAAGTTGTTTTTTTCTTATCTGTGTGGAAATCGTCAATATGAGACCAACAAGTTACTAGTTTTTCCAATTCTCTACCACTTTTCATAAAAAAAGTTCCACTACTTGATAAATGTTAAAAAAATCATTCAGTCATCAATTGATCATTCTTCAAACACCAACCGATACCAAAAAATAAAATATCGACAAACGTTTGAAATTCCAAGTGTTTTTCTGAACCATCTCTGATTTCAAAAATGTTTCAAACTGAATCTCATTTATAAACGACTTCCAAAAAGATACATTTTTCCATCTTTTCCAATCATCATAGGTAAGTTTCTAACAATCAATTCGTCTTCAGAAACGTCTTGTTTTCTTTTAATAAGTTCCAAAACCTAAACCAAAGGAAAAATCAAAACATCAAAATCAGTTCATCTTTTGATAAATAAATACGTGTGTGTTTCATCAAGACAAAGAAAAATAATATTCAACTGTTTCATCATTCATCTTTCTAGAGGTTCTAGCTCGACGTTCATGCATGATTTCACTTTCATTTTCTCTTTTCTCAACTCTAGCTTCATTCAAAAACTCATCAATCAAATCATCACGTTCAAACAATTCATGTTCATCATCCAAGTCCCTCTTCACTGGAGGAGTAATCGGTACAGTTCCATACTACATGATCAAATCAGATCATTAACTCAAGTTTGAAATATATATGAAACTTGGGAAAACATCATGTTGACTTACTACTGCAAGAGTTCCATCCGGTAAACCAGTTACAGGTTGGTTATCTGCCATCAAAGTCTTGGTGGTCTCTTGGCGTATCTCAATAGAAGACTAACAAATCACTGATCATTAGAATCTGATAAAGATGAACAACTAGAATGTTTCTTTGAACATACCATTTGATTTCCTTCTTCATAAACAAATGATCGAATATGATTCTCCTTGACTTTCATATCCAACACTTTCAATTCACGTTTAGTCACTGGGGTGACCGGCGGAGCTATCTCAACCGTTCCATACTAAGACAACCAAAATCAAACATGATTAGGAAAATTTCTTCAATAAAAACCTTTTGGAAAACTTACGACTGATAATGTTCCATCAGCCGAAGCAGTGACTGGTTTATTATCTGCCAATAAAGAAGTCGAAGTAACTTGACGCGTCATAAAGTGTGAAGAAGACACCGGTTCCAGACCACTTCTTTTCAAAAGTGATCGATGTGGAGGTTTCTCATTCGAGTTTCTTTTCGAAAGAGATCGAGACGAAATAGGTTCATGCAAGCTTCTTTTCAAAATTGATCGAGAGCTCAAGTGTTCATCTAAACTTCTCTTGAAAACCGATCGCTTGTGTTTTTGACTTTGAATCTCATCTTTCACATCACGTTTAGTAGCTTTCATTGGAGCAGGAATAGGTACAGTTCCATACTGAAAGTTAAACCCATCATCAACGTCAACATACATAGATAAGGTGGGTTTCAACCAAGAGAAAGAATCACAAGATATCTAAACTCACCAAGGATAAAGTTCCATCTGCTGAAGCGGTCACAGGCGCATCATCACTCAAAAGTGAAGTAGAACTTTGACGAGAGATTAAATCAGTAGATCTAGATTCAAGTTGTTGATAATTGAATTCAAGATCGCGCTTGAATTTAGAACAAATCGTAAACCCACAAGCTATAAATCCCCCCAAAAAAGAACCCAATCAACCAATTTGAAGGGTAATTCAAAGTAAAAGAAGAGAGAAAATGACAAACGATTTGATTTAGCAAACTGAGCAACTTGAAGCGCCTGTTTTTTTAAAAACTCATGAAACTCTTCCAAAGTAGGTGCCAAACCACAATCTTTAGTCACAAACCCATCATCTAAACCCCCCACCCCAAAAAAACCTCATCAGTTATCAATCTATTCGATTTGGGTTTGAACATCACTTACCAACAAATTGACATCTTTTATGAAATTGATTGAGATCTTTTTTTATAAAACAAGTGATTAAAGAAAAGAAATTTAAAAGAAATAAAAAGAAGACTAGCTTCATGATTTTTTTGAAAAAGCAAAGACAAAAAAGAGTTCAAAGTATGTAAAATGAAATCGAAATCGAAAATCAAAAAAGGAAAAGGAAAATGGGTTTAAAGGTTGAATGGTTGTTTTTGTTTGAAAAGACGATTGATAAAGAGTTTTTAAAGTAATTTGAACAAAGGAATCATATAAGTATACTCCGAAAAGTATCTACCAAACGATGATGATGATGAAGATGAAAGAAAAAAACCAACAACGAACGAAATTTTTCAACAAAGGTTTAAAAGTTAGAACGAGAATTAAAAAAAGGTAAAGAAGAAACCAAACGATGAGTAAAGGGTGATCACAACTCAAAAAAACAAGAAAAAAACACCAGTGAATTAGTTGAAGATGTCGATCATGAAAGTGATCTGATGAGATTTAAAATCAAGGAACTTCAATAAACCATCTTTCACTGGTAACAACAAATGATCAGTTCCACCAAATCCAAAATCAAAAATCAAAACACACAAACGGTCAGGAGTGATGGTTGAGAAAGAGAAGAAAGAGAAGGTGCATCATGAGTAGTACTAGGGAGTGTAAGAGGAATTGAATGGTTTTAGACTCAGAGTAGTTGTCAAGGTAAATTGGGTTACCATTAGTGATCTCATCACCGAATTCCTTTCTTCTTCTTCTTCTTCTCTTTACCTCTTTATGTATCATGCAACTAAACTTTCGTCATCGATTTTCACCTTGATGACTAATCAATCTGACCAGAGAAAAGTGGTACTCAGGACACCGAGCTTTGGAGTGGTACAATACGTTCAAACATGATCGAAGTTTTCTTGTTTGTGAACTTGAAGAGCGAGAATTATGAAAAATCAATTCAGAGATCTTGTAAAAACTTGATCCAGAAGAATATGATTGGTGAACTCTTGGGTAAACAGCTACCCATCCCAATGGTTTCGTATTAAAAGAGGTAAAAAGAAAGTCTTACAATTTCCAGATTTCGAGAATTATCATTTTTATTTAGCTATCATTCTGACCACTGTCAATGTAGAATAGTAAGAATATCGGTCAAGTAAGAATCGAGATATAAATTTTTGAAAAAGTCGTCTTTTTCCCTACAGCCTCAGGGCTCACTTGTAGCCTGAGCCTTGCAAATATATCACCACAATCATTGCATTTTTTCTTGATTTGACATCACTATCAACACCTCATACTAAAACACATACTCATAGGATAAGTGCTCAATCTGTAAAACCTGCCTAGAACTTGAAGTCAAAAGATTGATTAAAATTGAATTGACTGTAAAAAGACATTGAAATGTGATCGAGAAAATTATTCAGGAGGAGTAAGGGTTAAGTCTAACTCAAGGTATCGAAAGGTAGTTAAGAAGTAAAGAACTAAAATGCTCTTCACCATTCAACTCTAGAGGATGAACAGAACAAGCCTTTGGACTGGCTTTTCAATTGGCTCGCACCATAAAAATGAAATCACTCAAACTTATTCAGTGTACCAAAACCAATCGGCCTATCAAGATATTCATGATCTGTTAACGAAATACTAAAAAAACGATCCAAATCTCCACCAAATTGCTTGAAAAAATTATAAAAATCAATCTAGAAAAACAGTCATAAAGTAACCAAATCTGATATACAAACACAAGCAAAATAAAAAGCCGATTTGTGAAACATTCTTGATCTTCATAATTACCAAAAAAACCCATACCAACCCAACTCACCTAATACAAAATCATACACTTCTATACAACTTTACAAAAAAACACAAAGGATGATGATGGTTAGATCATAATTTAGACTTCACCAACATTTGATTCATCCGATAAATAATCTCTTCTGCATCTTTTTCCACTTCATTCATAAACGATTCACCTAAACCAAAAAAACCAAACATATCAAATCGATGCATTTGAATCAAAAAAACGAGCTTGATGAGATTAGTGGTCAATTTTTTTTGAAAATGGAAAGAGATACTTACAAGTTTGAATCTTGGTTAATAATCCAACACTTATACCACAAGTCCAAATCCCTGCATGAAGATCTCCAGTTTCATAAACCTTTTTACCTCTAAGTCCAGAAACAAGCTAAACCAAAATACCCACAAAACCTAATCAGAGAAAAAAACCCCGATTTTTTTTTGTAGTAGATCAAAACTCACATGAGCGATTTCTTCAAATTTACAACCACCTGGTCTATTTTCCATCTTCACGACTTCCAAAGCCACCGAGTTTTTATAAACCCTAGCCGTATTACCAAACGAACGAAAGATATGAATCGTTTGACGTTCGTCGGCTCTGATCATCTCTTCTTTAATGTTTTGATGGATTTCCGCTTCTTCAGTGACCATGAAGGCCGTTCCCATATTCACTCCTGATGCTCCTAATGCTATGGCTCCTGCTAACTGAATGAACATCGAACCCATCATGAGATCTTCGTTTAAGGAGAAGCTAAGTGTGGGTTGGGGAACTTACGCCTCTTCCATTGGCAAAACCACCTGATGCTATAAATGGTATATTAAGTGATTGAGCAGCCCGAGCAAGCTAAACACAACGGTTTGTCAAACATCAAATTGAGTATCAGATTTCAGGAAACCAAACCATAAAGTCTCAACAAGAAAACTTCACATACTAGAACCACTCCACCAATATCATCTTCACCAGGATGACCAGCACATTCGAATCCATCAATGGATAACATATTCACACCCACTCTAATAGCCGTCAAAGCATGTTTAATACTCACACACTTATGAATCACAAACACATTCGAATCTCTCAAGCGTTTAATGATCGGTACCGCACTCGGACCTCCAGCCGTTTCACATATCTTAACATTCTCTTCTAAAATTATCGTTGCATAGTCTTGGTATGGTGGTGGATTGATAGATGGTAAGAACGTTAGGTTTACACCGAATGGTTTGTTGGTCAATCGACGTGTTTCGTGGATCGCTTCTCTTAGTTTTTCGGGCGTCGGTTGGGTTAGACCGGTTAGGATACCTAGGCCTCCTGCATTTGAAACGGCTGCTACTAGTTTTGGTAGTCCTACCCTAGATTTCAGAGCAGCGTTTGAGGGGAGATTAGTTTGGGTTTGAGATGATCGATGGGTTTACTTACCACATCATTCCACCTGAGTTGAGAATAAGAGATGGAATGAGTACGAGTATGAAGGTGAGTTAGAGTGAAAGTGAGAATGAATGCTAACCTTGTACAACAGGTACTCTTATACCAAGAGCCTGAGTGAGGGCAGTTTGAATTGGCATTTTGAATGATTTCGGATTTCTGATTGGATTTGTTGAATGAAAGTTGAAGTGACGACATCGTACACCAAGTCGGCTTAAGTCTATACTAACTTCTAAGTCTAAAGTTAAGTTATAACTTATGTGGTGAATTCAACTTCCATCAAATTCAACATCACTCTCACCTACTCACACTCACCACATCAACCACAACCATCACCAAATCAACCACCAAACCAAAATCAAAATCAAATCAAACCAAATCAACATACAACTCATTCAAATAAATCCAGACATCCTAAACACCAACAATCACCCAAACCAAACCCTCATCAAATCCCACCGAATTTCAATCAAATCATTCCACACTTTCAACCATCATGAGTGATAACGAACGAGGAATCACAGATGGTGAAGATATAAGTTTACCCAGAGCAACAGTAAACAAAGTCATTCAAGGTAAATTCATTCCATTCCCATTCTCATTCCCAAAACCAAAACCAAAACGAGATATAGAGAGAGACTTATTAAAGAATTGTCTTTTTTTGTTTTTTGGGGGCATGGGCTTAGAGTTTTTACCGAATGAAATAGTTTGTTCTAAAGATACGAAAGATTTAATTGCTGATTGTTGTAAAGGTACTTACTTATCCTTTACCAAAAACAATCATCCAATTCCGATCATTGACTTTTGATCGGATTATTTTTTTCGATGGTCTTACGAATGAATTTGGACAAACGAATCATTGATTTTTTTCGGGGGGAGGGGGAAATTAGAATTTATTACATTAATTTCATCAGAAGCTAATGAGATTTGTGAAAGAGATTCAAAGAAGACGATCTCACCTGAACATATTACATCTGCTTTAAAAGTTGGTCATTTTTTCTTGATTCGAAAGTTTCAAATCAAGCACAAAGAAAACTCAGTTACCATTTATATAACTTCGGAATGGTTTGGATTGATTGATTTGGAAATTTGTTGATCTTTCTAGCAATTAGGATTTGATGAATATATAGAAGAAGTCGAAAGTGTAAACCAAGTTCATAAAGCTCAAACAAAAGTAAGTTTTTCTTTTAGGTCATTCCCTTTGAGTCTTAAAACTTTCAAAAACTCGAATCAAGAATCACTGATTATTTGTTTTTGAATTATTGGTGATTAGCATGAACATCAAAGAAGGAAAAACAAATTAGAACAAACTGGTTTAAGTCAAGATGAATTAGCAGCACAACAAGAATTACTTTTTGCTGAATCCAAAGCTAGATTTGATGCTGGTCAATCTTGAAATCGGAAATTAAAAATCATATACACACACACACACATCCAAATTAAAACGTTTATTCAATTTCATGACCATTTTTTTTAACAACAATCCTCTTTTTTTCTTTTTAAGAAATGTTTCATATGTTTTTATATATATAAATCATACCAAAAATAAATACGGGTTTCTATTTTTTTTAAGTATAAATAGATAAACAAGTTGTTTTTAAGAGTAGATATTCAAAAGACCTTTTTTCAAAACCTTTTTTCGATTGTTTTTTTATTTAAAAGGTTTTGTTATATAATGTTCTCCAAATTTCCTTCTTCTTGTTTTTTTTTTGTATTTTTGTAATACAACAATTCCTCCAACACCAAATCTCAGATCTGATCAAAAAAAAGATATAAATGTGAAGAAAAATCAATCAAGAGTAAAAGTTAAAAAAAATCAAGTTTTAGATTTTTTAACTTGATTATGATAAGTATTGAGTGGTTTAAAAGAATTACAAATCGCATTGAACTTTCACAAGTCTTGCAGGTATCTCTGTTATAAGCCTTTAATAAAGAGTCATACTAAAACTTACTCAAAGCCAACTTCTAAGCCAACTTCCAAACTAAAGAACCTTATCTTTCAATCATACTTTTGGTTTCAAAGTTCTTTTACATACTTATGATCTTCAATGGTTTACTTCAGTTCTACCTTTCCAAAGAACGTATTGTAAAAACCAGACAAATCATCAAAAGATTCCAAAAGCTTTAACCAAATTCAAGATAAATCATTTATACACAAATATATACTATCTATTTACTTTTCAAACACATACCACTAAACCAACAAACCCAACAAGAAAAACCCAACTAAAAACCACTTCAAACCTATCATTTTTTTTTCCAAGAATCAAGAAAGTTTTTATTATCTACATATAAAAAATATCTAATATCAAAAAAAAAAAAAAGAAAATGAGTTTTTTTTTCTTGCGTTTTTTCTTTTAAATATCAAAAATAATGAAACTTTTTGATCATCAATCGATTTTTTCTTTACTTCTCCAAAAAAACGTAAAAAAAACCAAAAACACGAAAAAAGGGAAACCTTTATATACACATACAAACAAAAAACTTATAACAAAAACGACAAAAAAAGGTGATGATGAAGATCAAGAAACCCCAATAAAACGACCTCTGTCTACCATTTTTTTCTTTGATCAACTCATGAATAATGATCAGGATGATCAAACTTCTCAAAAAAAAAAACTTGGGTTCAGTTTATCTACAATGCTTATTAACAGAATCAACTTCAAAAAAAAACCAAAAAAAAAACCAAAAAAAACCAAAAAAAACCCAGAGGTAAAAAACAAATTCAATTGATGTTAAAGAAACAACAAAAAAAAAGAGTGACAAGCACACAAAAACACACACACAGAGAGAGAGAGAGAGAGAGAGAGACATACAAGGTAGTATGATGATGATGAGGTAAAGAGGTAAAGAGTTAAGTCAAAGTGTGTGATGAATTGAATTGAAGATAGGTAACATAAGAAAAAAAAATGACATTTTTTTTTCCAAAATTCAAAAATCATCATCGAAATTCAAAAAAACAAACACAAAAAAAACAAAAAACAAAAAAACACAAAAACACAAAAAGAAGAGGGGTACTACCTAATACGAAATAAATTGTGATTTTGAAAAGAAAGAAAACGAAATCAAAAGAAACAGAAAGAGATCAAACGAAACCAAAAACCAAAAAAAAACAAGAAAAGAAAATCAAATCTAGTTGTGTGGGGAATGAAGAAAAAAAAAACTAATAACGACTTTGCAAAAAAAAAGAACATATGGGTAGACAAATCTTTAAGGGGGGGAGGAGGAGGGGAAAAAAACGATCTATAACTTCTTCTCCTTTCTCTTGCTCTCTCTGTCTGCATGTCTGTCTCTGTGTGTGTATTCCATTTTTCCCACATTGCCTATTGAAATCGGGTTTCTTGCTTAAGGATATCTACAAGAGAGAGAGAGAGAGAGAAAGAGAAGCGGGTAGAGGTTTAAAGTAAACCACATTCTCTTAGATTAACTTGAATAATCTATTTAAACCAAAAAAATGAAGATTGGTTAATAAACTTTCACGAGGATGTCAAAGGAGAAGAAAAGAGACGAACGATATCATTGACGGCCGAAAGAACGAATCGAATTTGAGAAGTATCAGTTGCACAAGTCAGATGAACATAAACCTACCAAAAAAAAAACCAAAGCCCATCAATCTTTGACAATTTAAAGAAAAGATAGATCAAGAAAGACCACAAACCTGTTTAGTAGGACTTTGATTTAGACTAATAAACTTATTACTAAAGAAATCAGCACCAGCTTGTAATCGATCTTGATCAGTGGCATGTGAAGGTAATGGTTGAAAATCAATAAAGAAGTTTTCGATCTTCGAATCTTTTAATTTATCTTTAAACAAATCAATCTTATTTAAGAATAAGATGATTGAAGTTTTGGTAAACCATCTTGAATTACAAATCGAATCAAACAAATTCAAGGCTTCTTGCATTCGATTCTATTTTTCCAAGAAAAAAACGAACGAATAAGTAAAGGTTTCAGGTTTGGGAGGAGGAGGGTTTGAGGGGACTTACGACTGATTCATCTTCATATAACATTTGATCGTATTCACTAACGGCTACTAAGAAGACGATTGCTGTGACGTTTTCGAAACAATGAATCCATTTCTTCCTTTCACTTCTCTGACCTCCTACATCAAACATTCGATACTTCAATTCACCAATCACAAAGACTGTTTCAGTGATCCCAGTGGTCTTGACTCTAGACCTCAAGACATCTTGATCGTTTGGTAAATAACCTGGTTTTCCAATCCGATCTATCGAATCAAAGTAATATGCTGCTGAATCATTAAGCCTGTTTACAAAGAAAAGAAATAATCAAACTCATAAGTCTAATGAAATGATGAGATAATTTTTTGAAAAAAAGACAATCTTAAAATACTCAACTGATACTCTCTACTCCGATCAAAACATTGACGTACACCTGGATCATTCCAAAGTAATCGAATCGCATGTACAGCCGAAGGATTCAAATCTTGATCTTCAATCTGAGGAGGTAATGAACAAATCAATTCTGCCAAAGGTTCTAATTGAGCTGAACCTAATGGGATTTGCATCATCTTCATCGCGTCTAAGATCACAGCCATTGATTGGATTGTGTTTGAAAATACGATTTCTTTATATGATTCTCTTTCACTTGATGTATATGATCCTATTTTGATTGGAAAAGATTGGATTATTAATTTCAGTTTTTGGTTGATTTAAAGAAAACTAGCTTGATTTTACATACCTTCATGAATTAGTTTCATTTGTTTCAGAATGGTTGATTTACCAGATTCACCTGCACCTAATAATAACATCTTGATTTCATTTCTGAATGGATTCGATATCACATTAAAAAAGATCAAGTTAGTTATGGTATAGTTTGAGTCAAAATTGAGTGTGGGTCTGTTTACCTTAATAACATTTTATCACGTTTTAATTGACCTTCGATTTCATCATTTCTTTGTTTAGCTTCTGCATCTTCTTTTGATCCACCACAACCCATGATAAAGAAGAAGAAGAAGAAGAAGAAGAGAAAAAAAGGTGATGAGTGATGAATGAGATATATAAGTTATTTGAATTTGATTCGATTGGATTTGAGTGTATGCTATATTGATGATTGGTGAAGATGAGATTGGTTAGTTGATGATATGTAAGGTGTGTGATTGGTTTGGTTTAGATTACGATTTTAAGATTTGAGATAAATTAACGAAACTAAATCTTAAATTGAATGAAAATGAAAAATGAAAAATGAAAATAATAATATCTTTGAACTTTGAAGGGATGGTGAAGTTGGATTTGCCTTTGTTTAAAGAATCGGTTTGTGTTAGTGTTAGTGTAGTGCAGTGTATTTACTTTAAGAGAAGTTGGAATTGGAGAAAACTATTTTGGAAATAAATTTCACTTGAAAACGCGTACAACAAAAAAAAACTTCAAACTAAACTACTTATTTAATCACAAAAATCAAAAATCAAAAAAAAGAATATATATGTGTAGTTTAAAGATCAAAGCTTAGAGGAAAAGTTTGACTAGTACGAAAAAGCTGATGAACTTCTTGTCCAAGGGAATCAAACCTGACCTGAATTTATACACTTACACATCGGTGTTCATCATACATTCATCCATGAAATTCTATAGAAAGCTAAAAAGTTGAATTTATGTAAACCATCCATTCATCGATCCATCACTAAACTGTTTCTATTTCTTCATCAACTTAAACCGAATTTCAAATCCATTCAATTCAATCATCAACATTTTATATGGATTGAATTTAAATCTTAAATATTTTTCACATCATGGAACTTCTACAATTTCCAAGTATTAATTCAATGTTTATCAATCTTTATCAATTTAAACAATCAACTAAGACTTCGATAAGATCATTTCTATTATACATCCATCCAACACAACACGTAAACTCTCAGAGATTTATCAAGACATTTCAAATCATACTTTACTTTTCCTATCGATCGCAAGTACTTATCAACAAACACCAGCCGGACGTCCAGGATGTCATCGGATGGAGAGTAAAACTCAAGATCACTGACATCTGAGAACCTTCACGAGCCGAGCCGAGTCGAGTCCTGATGTATTTCATCTTACACCACCAGGACTCAGGAGCATGTCTTGAAGCGCGAGACGCGTACGGTGCCAGGCAAAGGTTAGTCGCTGAAGTGAATTTCATTCGGTGTCTAGTGGGATATCCACTCAGCGAACCGAACCATCGGCTCTGTGATCACTGACAATGACTTTCACATGGATCAGTTGGATTTCAAATCCTTGGCAGTCTGACCATCGCACTGCCACCACGTGGGTGAAGCCTGAGAAATCGCTCTTGTGCTCGCCAAGTGGAGCCACCTCGGCTCGGTTCACAGTATGTGCAGACGACAGCCTCGCAGGTTGGTCACATCCGATTCCCATTTGTAAGTACATATGCTTGCGGCCTCTTGCGACCTCATCACATTTCGCGTCTTGAACTTGGTCAAAAATGATTGTGTTGTGATTCAGATAGGGTGTCACATGGAATCAGGGGGTCTGACTCTCAGGTCCAACAATTTTTGCAGCTTTGACCATGAAAAAAAACTGGATCCCAAATTCAGCAATTTTTACATAACTTTGATGTGTTTTATGAGTTTGGAATTCCTTTAGCCCGAAAGGTTTTATGAGCCACCAATTTACGCCAATTTACAGATAATCAAAAAATCTAAATAATCATCAACCAAACAAAAACTAGAGGAATAATGTGAGATGACAAAGTCAAGAAAGGTATCATTAAGATCAATAGAGTAACAAACCAACACAAGAGAAAACAGGTTATGGAGATCACTTTACTCTCAACATGATGAGACATGTGAAAGATGCAAAGACATATAAAGAGCAACACAGCTTGAGAAACTCCGGCTTGCAAGTTGCAGTGCCCTTGAAATTCTCTGATTGGATGGATCAAAGTACAATCTTTTCTCCAACAAAGGGTTCATGGAAGAAGTGAAGTCTGGTGATCTCAAGTCTCAGGTGAGTGGCTCTGAGTCTGAGATAGAGGCATGCAGGTTTCATAAAGTAAATACATGTCATATTTGTCTTTGTATCACCCAAAACAAAAGACTCATGTTGATTTAATTGCATGTGTCTGAGCATTTTTCAAGAACATGTGGTGCTGAAATACTCAAGTGTTTAACAAATGAATGTCTTATCCAACTCTTGGACTTGGACTTGGTTACATTTAGATTAACAATAACAGGAGAAGGCTTTGTTCAAGGCTTAAGCTAATGCTTATGTACTTCAAATGTATGTATCAACCTGAGTTTTTTCTTGTGGAGGGGGAAAAGACAATCATCAAACTAGGATCCAGAAATTAAAGTTTTCAATGGGTTTTTTGGTTAAGCTTAAGGACCAGCATCTTGGTTTTTGCTAAACTATTTTATGTACACAGCTTTATTCTTCAAATTTTAAACTGTTATATATCATGTGTGTCTTGGAGTAAGTTTTTGTTTTTATAGCTATTTGGTTGTCTACAAATTGAGTCTATATGGATTTTAAGTTGTGTGGTCATATATATATATCACCTAAATGCAAAAGAAATCCATTCAGACTTGTTGAAAAAACTCATAATCAAAGTGTGGGCCATGGTCCATGAAAGTTGAACTAAAAAGTAAGGTATCAAAAAAGAAGACAAGAAAATTAGATCTTCAATGTAAAGAAAATTACCTGGATTAAAACAAAATAGGCCCAAAGCTAGCATTACTCAAGTTGATTTTGAATGGTCAAAGGAGGTCACTTTTACTATGAAAAATATACAACATCTGTAGCTTCAGGGGATATTCAATCACTATTATTCATAGAAAGGCAGTATTCATGATCATCTTGGGTACTGAAATATGAAAACCAAGTGTCTCAGCTCTCAGCCCTCAAGGATTATCTCACAAATCATATTGCGGACCACAAGGCTTTGGCCAGAGAATATGATGCTTCATGGAATCAAAACTAGCTGGATCCCTTTGAAATGACCAGACTTCTCAACCAAGTCTCTCTTGAACTTGAGCCGCACAAACATGGAACTTATATACTATCTCATTTTTTTGGCCTGGGATTGGCCTAGGCTTTTTGCCAAAAACTGGCCCCCTTATAAACCTTTTTTATACAATTTTGACATGCGTCTGTCCCTATAATAAAAAAACATACACCTCAATCACCTCTACAGTTTGAAACTCTCATCTTGTCAATATCTTCTAGGGTTCCAAAGATATATACATATTTGTTGAGGGCAAAAAGTTGAAATTCACAGTACATTTGATTGGTTTGTGCTTGAAATTTTGGTTTTGGTGTACAGTCCTCAACATCAAGTCTCATCTTATCTCTAGAATAAAGAAATATATTGGGATTAGAATTCACACACATCTTTTAATTTTGGGGATGGAGACATGTTAAAATTGTATAAAAAGGGTTTATTCAAAGGCCAGTTTTTTGCAAAAAGCCCTGGCCAATCTCATGCCAAAAACATCAACATCTTGTGTCCCTTGTTTTAGTGGCTCAAGCTCAAGAGAGACTTAGTTAAGTTTGGCTAGGAGGTGTCAAAAAATTTCAACTCAATACACAAAGTTATCACCAAAAAAGTAACTGAGTGTACTGGGTTTTTTGTCAACCAGGTTAGTTTTCAACACGGCTTATGTACAAGCTGAAGGAACCTAAAGCAGATGATAAGATGAAGTGATCAAGATTGTGGACCTTGTTGATCTAAGTTGAATGGTGTCATCAACACAACTGAGTGCTTTTGGTGTCTGCGGCTTGTGCGGACGTGACTGTGTCGAATATCCTGTTTGGGTTTTTTGAGTATGGCCCTATAGCTCAGTTGGTAGAGCACCTGCTTTACACTGTTGAGCGCATGTTGTCCTGGGTTCGAGCCCCAGTGGAGTCATATTTTTGAGGCACAAAACAATTCCTTACCACAATGGCTCCCCACCACATTTTGCTACATTGCCATGGGACCCGGTCTGTGGCTCCGCAATTAGTTGTCCAACTTTCCAAACCTCATCTTCCTGAATTTTTAACCGCTCTTGATTGACTTCATCACATGATAACGGGCAACATGGAAGTTGAAAGTGTGGCGGACAAAGGCCGGAAGAAGACACTTCAAGTGTCATTCCTCCAACTTGCAACATGTCTAACATCTTCATTAACCCTATGGGACCGCAAGGAAGCTCAAAATTGACCTCCTCATTGACACCTCTTGTCTTTGATAAAGCAAGTCTTAACAAGGGACTTACTCAATCACCCTCCAGCATGTTATCTGATCTGGGTAGCTTTGCCAAAGAGCAAGCCAGAACAAACATTCCTGTCTTTGAAGCTGAAATCTAAGCAGCGGGAGCCACAGGCACCCCCTGCTCCCTGTGCATCAAACATCTTTTCCCAGAGACGGCTGATTCAACTTCTCTCAAATTGGCCAAAAAGAACAAAACTACAAAAAAAGATCCAAGTGAATGTAGACACCGCCACGGATGTCCTAGTACTCACAGGAGGTGTTTTTGATCAATTCATGTATGAAGATGCAAGACACAACTTTAACACTCCGGCTTCAATTCTGAACCCAACCCAAAAGCCCTTTGATATAATATTTGAGGGAAGGGTGACAGAGTACAAGCTTGACGCAATAGCCAAATTGTTTGCCCTCAGGCTCCTCCACACGGCAGGAGGGCAAGTACACACCCCTAAGAACATACAGAAAGCACCAACAAAGACAAGCAAAACCCTGTTTTATGCGCTGGCAATGGCACAACACGTACAGCGTTGATCATCTCAAACCTAACACAAAGACGACAAACGCTGAAACCACAGTTGTCTGATGTGATAATAATTCACAAGGTCAGCGCAGAACTCATGCACCCTAATCTTTCAAATGCAAAATTGATTCAAGAGATCAAAGTGGCATTTGGAGCATACAACATAAACATGAAGCCAGAAGATGACAACGCCACTGAGGCAAAAAGTGTCTGGCATCACCTATCTAATGATATAGATGTTTATTTTGTAACCCCCTCAAACACTACAAAATTCAGGTCCTTGTCCAGATTCTGATTACAAGGATCTTTCAAGAACCTCAGAATCAAAAAAACTAGACATGAAATTGTAGTCAATGGAATCCCCATGACTTTTGCTCCTGTTTTACAGGACCACCACAAAGAGTTGCCAATGAGCAACAATAGATTACTCAGAGGAACAAAATTCGTAAGATGGCCCAACCCAAAGGCCTTAGAAGATTAGGAAAAGAGGCACTCGTTGTTACTGATTGGCCTGAGCAGTGACAAGGAAGTGCAGCAATGTGTAGCCCAAAAGATATGGCATGGTAGGGGTAAACTCCAAACTTTTGATGGAAGTCCCCCACCTCAGCGCTGTTACAACTGGCCAAAGTCAGGTCATACGGCTCCAACATGCCCCATTGACACCTTTTGCCCATACTGCGGCAAAAAACACCATACTTATACCTGTCCTCAAAAAGGCCAAATTGATATGAAATGCATGGCATGTGCAAGATATAAGGTAAAGTTGGAACCATTGGCTGACATCAATGGACTCTTTAAATCCAATCATGCAGACTCTGTACACCACCTGTTCAGCCCAGAATGTCCAACCATCATAGCAGCAAGTGCCCCCCTCACAACTCAAGTAGTTCACCATACTTGGTAGTTGTAGAAGAAAACAACATGAATATTTCCCAATGATCAAAACACGACTATGAGAAATACTAACTTCACACAACACAAGTGCAATATTACAACTTAATTGTTTCTATTCAAAACATGTAACACATTCCCTTTTTAATTGCAGATTGACCAACAAATTTTCTATCCTATGATGCACAACACCAAAGACAATGAAAGGTCCAAATTTTTTTGAAATAATATGCAGGCCTTGAGTACTCAATTTGATGAGGCACCAAAGTTACTTTTGAGAGTGATTGGACAACTTTTTTTAGGTTTATTATGAAAGAGTTGTAAAATTTTCAAATTTTATGTATTTTTGTAAAGATGATCTGTTTAGACCATATCAATGTACCATCACTCAAAAGCTACTTTTGAGATACTCTGGATGAGAGCATCTCAAAAATCACCTTGGCTCCTTGCCAAGTTGAGTATTTTGGGCCTGCATAGAATTTCTCAATTCTTCAGGGCTTTCATTATCTTTGGTGTCATGAACCATAGCTCTTCAAGAACCACCATAAACAGGACTGACTATTTACCACCAAATCAGACCAACTGGACTTTAATTTCACTCCCCCTGGCTGCACTGAATGAAAACAGACACCCAAGGGCACGTATATATATTTGACAGCAGCCATCAACCCACTTACCACCCCATCATGTGACTTGGCAACAAGCATTATGACTATCACAGGTTTCACATTCATTATATTCAGTGTCTACAACCCTTCCAACACCTTAAAAGGATTTGAAGCTTGGGACAAGCTGACAACTTCTCTACCCTTAGATTCAGAACTACAGCAACTACCAGAAATAAGAATTACCAACTCAAACTTACATTCACATACATGGAATTGAGCACACAGCAACAACCATGAATCACTAGCAGACCAATTAGTTGACCTCATGATCAAATGGGGTCACTAGTTAAGATCACCTACAAACCTTTGGGCCAAGCTTGGCTAACACAAAAGGAACCACCATTGACATACTATGGGTCAATGAATCCATCAATGTGTTTACATATAATTGACAGCAACCACCACACTAATCACCTTTCCAACCACCAGTCTCTAATCACCACATTCACCATGACTGCAAGGAAAAACAATAAAAACACAAGCAGTAAGGAAGAGGGAAGAATGAATTGGCACAAGGTCCAAATGGCTTCCCTCCTCACAGATCTCACCACTTCATTCCCCAAAATCCAAAAGCTAACAAAACAGCACAAGTTTGACAAGTTTGACAGAAATCTGCGAGAATACTGCATTCAATGCAATAACACTTGGCAACTGAAAAGCCGCTGGGTCTGGGCAAAAATTGTAGAAGAAAAACACCTGACAACAGACAACCTCCAGTAGAATAACTACCTAATCAATTTCCTTTATCAACCACCATCCTTTAGCGCCTCCTCAATATATTGATACCAAATATAAAATAGATGAAACAGCCAACAGTAACCTTTCCCCTGACACAGTCAGAGGGGTTTTACCGGTGCTGAAAAACATATGCAGTGCTTGATACCCGTAAGGCTCTAAAAGCACATGAGGCAATGGATTAAAAAAAGGTACCCATCCCAATGTTCCCACCGCTAGGCAAGTGTGGGATTATTTGAGCTTGTGTTAAGCAGAAGGACCACCCTTCCTTTGGCTTTGTGGAACTAAGATTGATTTGAGACTGTTCAATCTAAAATCTTACACAAAATAAACTCTGGATTTGCTTTTATCTGTGTCCAAGGCACAACCTCTCCATATTATCAATAGCCTGATAAAATCTCGCAATGTTAAACCAAATAGAAATTGAGAGAGAACTCAATTCTTTCAATTCATTTTGTTTTCAGTTGATCAATGAATATTACAAAGAAAAAGATTTGATTACATGGTATGATTGTAAAGAAATGCTTGGATTTGTACACACCAAAAGAGGGGATTCAAAAGATAATCAATTATTTACAATGGTTTTAACAGTCTTGCTTAACATCAAATCAAGTGATTCTACTCATCAATTTCAATTCTAATGAATCTTAAAATCTAATCAAGTTTAGATAGAATGAATTGACAAACAAGAGTAGTAGAACAATCTTGATTTTTCTTTCCATAAAAGAAAACCACAATCCAAATCTTTCATGAGTTTTGATGACTGGTTTCACTTTGTTTCTGGACTGTAAGACATGCCACCATACTTCAATTCAAACAAAATCAAAAGAAAAGTTCAGTAAGAAATTTGATTTCACAAATTCAAATCTCACTCACTTCATCAAATTCAGGTTCCAAATTCTGAACAAGATCATCAATAGAAGTAGAACTAGTTTCTTGAAAATCATCAGGAACTCTGTTATACGCCCTAGCTGAGACTGGTTCAGGTAAGTTGTAAATTCTTGGTGGAGAATTATCTAAATCAGGTGTAACTGAATGTTTCAACATCTCTTGGTCTATTTTTGGAGGAAGACTATATGAATCAGGTGTGAATAAATGTTTTAAAATCTCTGGGTCTAATTGGTCAGAACTCCAAGGATAATCTGCGCTTTGAGTCTTGGGTTTTTCTTTCCTGTCTTCAGCTTTCTCTTCATACTAGATTTCAGAAAATTCATGATGAGCAATATGCTATCAGAGTCTTCTGGAAGCGTTCTTATCTCAATGTACCCACTTTTGGTTCTTTGGTCTTCGGGATTTCCCCAAGCAATTTCGAACTGGGTACTTTGAACGCTTCAGGAGCTCTGTAAATCGGATGTTTTGGTGAGATTAGTATTTGCAAAGTTGTTGGGCCTGCCATCAAGAGAAGTGATTCTGAAGGTTTGATAGGTTCTCTCTCGTGAACTCCTTTCATAGATACATCCGAAGCTTCCGAATTCTGATGATTAGTTTTGATATGAGTCTCTTCAAGCATTTCTTTGGTGATGTGCTGTAGAGATCATGGATGGATAATGGATTTTATGATAAACAGGAATTAGACACATTCAAATAAGAAAGGTTTTTTGTTTTGTTTTATACATTGCTTGGGTAGGAATCACTAACCCTATTATCCAAATTCTCATCACTCACATCACCTGAATTGGACTTTAAGCGAACTTCATCCTCGTGCTTTTCAATAGACTTATAAATGAATTCTAAATCTCTCTTAAACTTAGGGCAATATGTATAACCGCAAGCTGTTTTATTGAAAAAAAAAACAATCAAAACCAAGAGTCAATTTTATGAATGTAGATTTTTCTTGAATTGATCATGATAATTCTTCTATATAAAAATTGACTTACGAAATTCTCTTGCTAATCTTGCTACTTCTTTTGCTTGTCTTTTGAGAAATTCAGCAAATTCTGATTGGGTTGGAGCATTACCACAATCTTTCAATTCGAATCCATCATCTAAATAAAAAAGAGTAATTATCAAACATAAAACCATCAGGTACGAATAAAATTTGGTGGAATATATTGGAAATGTTATGATAAAGTGAAATAAAGTGAGTTTTTTAACTTACCCATAAATACGCATCTCTTTTTGATTGATCCGACGGAATTTTTGTCTTCTGAATCTTTGGTGGAAGCGAACGAAAGAAAAGATAAAAAAAGTATTTTAGGAATAAATCCCAAGAGCAATTTACTCCTTGAAAGCTTGTTATTGGATGATCTAGGCATTGGAGACTGGAATGAATGGATTGGACTCCTTGGTTGGTTTAGCGTTTATTGATGTGTGGGACTGTTAAAGGAAATCATAGTTTATCAGATAATGTTTTGGGAATGTGGAATAGCTCTTGCCCCCAGGTGCTCAGGAGATATAAGGAAACGGTCATATGGTGAATAAAACCCATAACTTACGTTATACTTGGACGAGGAGGACAATCGGAATGGAATAAACTGGCTAGAAATTGACGCTATATAGGGATTACGAGGCTGTCGTTTTTTGATACCTGAAAGGAGTTCAGAAGAGCGAAAAGGACTTGAATCAACGTGACCGACCCAAGATCTTCAGACGATAGGTGTGATGAATCAGTTGAGGTGACAAATGTTAAAAGAGTTGACAAACCCTTCGGTAGTTTATATATCAACACTATCAACCAAGCCTTTTGCGTCCCCCCCTTGTGGTTCAAAGATGTATAGCGTTCAGCTCCCTTGACAGTTTATCCTTTCGAAAGCAAAAGCAGCGAGGGCAGAAACCGGCTACTCGGCAACCGAAATGTGGTTTATCGAGACAGCTTTCAAATTGTTGGATGTCTCCATCGTCAGATGACACTTGACCATGTAAATGGCATGTTGAGATAAGACGAGAACATTGTTGGCTTCCCTTTGTTGAACCTATGTAATTGTCCCTTTGCTTGAAGGACAAAAAATTGCCAGTTAAGCCTCACAAATTGATATCATTTGGTATTTTTTATGCAGGACTCGAAAGCCCAAGTGGTGTAAATTGCCTTAGCTGGTAGTTGTACCTTGTCACCCGAAGCCTCGCATTGTCGAGGTGTGCAATTTTCAATAGGGTCAATGTGCTACTGAGCAGGAGCCGAAAAATAACGTGATGTCTGACCCACGTGCTTATTTAGCTACTTTTAAGATGATCAGTCGTGCAGGTGCTTTTTCTTCGTGACCAAATCATACATAGGTTCAATGCTGTCTTACTTATCCTCAACTTATCGCTCGTGAAGCAACCGATTCGCAATGCCACTCATCCTGTTATTATTAACCACGTTGTAGCCATAAAGCTTACCCCATGTCCTCTCTCAATCTCGTCCAAGTTCACTGGGCAAGAGTGGGGAAGTGTACTGAGCTCAAAAGTACTCAACGACCAACCGTTACCGAGATACATCGATGACGCACAAACAGATTTTAGTTGCATAATATTAACTAACTGAGAAAGCTACTTCTTTGAAATGATACCTTTTCTCAAGAATCACTTATGAGTGAGGCTCATAGTTGCAATCCCAAGCAGCACCTTCGACAAAAAAAGCCTGACATATGAAGTATTCACCCACAAACCTCTGAAATACCCACTAGACTCTCATTTCGTTGACTCACTACATTATGGGATCAGAAGTAACTTGATTGCTTCATATAAATATGCTTAGAAGGACTACATGAGGTTTACTTACGACGGCAATAACACCTCAGAAATTCAGTGCACATTGATCAAATAAAATGATAACAATGCTGATGGTAAAGAAGAATTGAAAAAAAATGAAATAGGGTTGAATTCAATAAAGAAAAGCAAACAATAGTAAAGAGAAAAGTGAACCTTTCAAATATTGAAACCAAACATGACATCATTATATTCAAGATGATCACAAGTGTGTATGAAGTCAAAAAGAAAATCCTAGAGATGATTGATCAAGGCAAGTTCCATTATCTCAATTGGTTTTACTTGATTTTGTTCACATTGGTGTACAAAGTTGAATGCAGGTGAAAATTGACTTTTTGTACCAGGACTGCCAGGGATTGGAATTTGGAAGGCATAAGTACCAATGTAATGTTGGCGGCTTTGCACCATTTACCTAGTCTGACAATACCTTGTCAAGGGCTATCAACCAGTTCAGGATCAATTATCTGGCGATATGATCTTGCTTCAGTCAATGTATGCCCTTGGATTCTGATAACTACAGAATTCTTTCAAAACACCATTAAGACCTTCCAGGTTGAAGGCCTCTATATTCCTTTTAAGGCTTTTACAAAGAAAGTTGAACTCTGTTTGATTTTCAAATTCAATTAAACTTTCACATTCTTATTCTCAATGACCATTCAAAAACCAAAAAATAATCAATCATCACCAAAAAAAAGTTAACAAAATAAAGCTACACAAAACTTTAACCCCCCCAACAAAGAAAAAAACCAAAAAGAACAATTATGTCTCTTTTATAAACAATCTTGCAATGAAAACAAACCTCAATCTTTGGGGAAACAAAAACTTTTTTTTTCATATAAGAAACATATTTCTTATCTCTATTATTATTATTATTATTTTCAATTAAAATATCAAAAATTGTCCAAACTAAATGTCAAAATAGAAAAACTTCAAATAAAATAAATAAATAAAAATAAAAATAAAAATAAATACCACTCTTGAAATGAAGAAAAAAAATAGGAAACTCTAATGATTTTGAATTTTTGATTTGGTTTGAGTGTTTATGAATACTTTTCACCACTTTGTTCATCTCCTTTACCAATCACATGAACTTTAAATCCAATCTTTCTTAACCTTTCAGCATCTAAAACAATTCGACCATCAAAGATACTTGCCGGTTTTTCTACTTGATTATATATCTTTTTCCAATCCAATATTTTAAACTTAAATCAAAATCAAAATCAAACACACACATACATTAGTCGCTTTATTCTTTGATGGATTCATAGAAGAGAGAAAAGTGAAAGGTGAAACATACTTCATCCCATTCAGTTGTGACTACAATTCCAGATGCTCCTTCACAAGCCTCATAAGCCGAATCACAAATCGTAATCTGTTTCCTAGCTAAATCCTCCCCAAAAAACAACAAGAAATCAGTACCCCATCCTACACCCCCAATCTATCAGAAAAAACAAACCTAGTTGTTCATCACCTGCTACGTTTTTATCAACTAAATCAATCCAATATTGATGATGATTAACTTTAGGATCATAAATCGAAATCTGAGCTCCTTCAGCTCTAAAATGTTGTACAAGTGTAATTGCAGGTGAACATCTAGTATCACCTGTATCTTTTTTAAATGCGAAACCTAAAATTGCAATCTTTTTACCTCTAATCGTATTAAACAATTCTTTGACTACTCGAGTTGTAAATCTAACTTTTTGTGATTCATTCATTAAGATTACCTACGGATGGGTTTAGTTTTCATCAAGAGAATCAACTCAGATCAGAAACTCAAAAAAAACAATTAATGAAAGTAAATGAAAAATGACCAACTTGACGCCAATAATCAGCTACATCTTTAAGATGAAGTGATTCCGAAAGATAAACCAAATTAAGGATATCTTTTTGAAAACAACTACCACCGAATCCCACTGAAGCTTTTAAAAACTTTTTTCCAATCCGATCATCTAAACCACAAGCATAAGCTACTTCATCTATATCTGCACCTGTGACTTCACAAATAGCTGAAAGTGAATTGATTGATGAGATTCTTTGTGCTAATAATGCATTAGCAGCCTATACGATCAATCAAAACAAGTCCAAGGAAGATCAGAAGTTGGTTTAATGTAGGAATTGAAATAGATTTCCAAGAAAAGAAACGTACCAATTTTGTTAATTCAGAAGACCAAAGACCAGTAGTCACACATTTTTCAATAGGAACCCAATTAGCATAAACCGAAACCAAAGAAGCTTGAGCTCTTTTACCAGACTGAGTTTGTAAAGAACCAATCAAAACACGATCAGGATTAAGTAAATCTTTAACTGCAGTACCTTCAGCTAAAAATTCAGGATTAGATAGAATATCAAATGTAATATTTAAATCTGGATTCATATTCGATTCTAATATCTTTCTCATCGATTCTGCTGTTCGACATGGTACAGTTGATTTCTCTACTACTATTTTAGGTGAGGTTGAAATCGTTGCGATTCTTCTTGTACATAGTTCTACATAACTAAATCCCTCGCAAAAAGAAGTGCAGATCAATATGAGTAAAGATAGTCAAAGGTAATAGAGAGTTAACTGACCTAAGATCAGCGGCTGAACCTGAACCAAGACCAGATTGTTTAGTAGGAGTATTAACCGAAACAAAGATCAAATCGGCTTCTTTGATAGCCCGATCGATATCAGTATCAAAAAACAAATTTCGACCTCTACATTCGAATACGATTTCTTCTAGACCAGGTTCAAAGATAGGTAATTGATTTGAATTCCAAGCATTGATTCGATCATGATTTACATCCACAATCGTAACTATCAAAGAAGGAAAAGTGAGATTGTGAATCAGTTGATGAAAGACTTGAGATTGATGGGATGTTAATTTGTGGGATGTACCTTGTATATGAGGACATTTGTAGGCGATTACTGAACAAGTTGGACCACCGACATAACCTGGGGTTTTCAAAAGTGGTAAACTGAGGATATCAGATTACGGAAATCGAATGAAATCGAATGAAAGAACAAACCAGCTCCTATACAAGCTATTTTTTTAATTTCGACAGGTTTGATTGGTGTTGTTGGGTTCATGATACTGATTGATTGGTTGATTGGTTGAGAGTGGATGTGTTTGTGATCGAATAGAAAGGTGAGTGATGGTTTATGTTTAGTTTGGGTGGTCGTTGTAGTGACGTAGTGTGCAGTAAAAGCTTGGAGTGATCACTTCGTAAAATTCAATTTGATGATCGGAACTCTTCTAAACTCCACATTTTTAATGGATAGTACACCACAAAGACATTTTTAAGTGCTTATTGGCATTAATACCACCTTAGTAGATCAGCCATCTAGTCAAAGCATGGTATGACATTGAGTTATGGATTCATTTAGGACCAATCATAAACAGGCTTTCATCTCTTTTTTGTCCGTGCAAACCCTCCATGTCGGAAGCAGATAGCGTCAACAAGCAACTGTCAGAGGAATGATTCATGAAAGGAAAACATTCATGAAAAAATACCTTTAGGCATCTAGCCCATCTGCATGAAACTGGTGGCCCTCTGAGCGTCCGGGAGGACCATAGAGTTATTAGACTCAAGAATTTCTTGCGTACTCCACATTGCTGAGCAAGGATTTTGTATCCCCCTCCAAGCCCCCTGTCCTAGCATCAACCAGAGTCATGAGGGAGAATGGGGGGTGAAAGGGGGTGAAAGGGGGTTGATTGATAGTGAGACCAGAAATCATGAGGAGAAATCCTGAGGGATATCTGATAGATCCGCCTTGATGTGAGCTACCAAAGTGCTGTAGTAGAGTAGTGATGACAAAGACACCTTTGTGCAGAAGGTTGTCTGAGCTGTCCAAGATCCAAATTCAACACATGACTCTGTGTCCCCAATCAAGGTGTGTTTTGGTCATCTGTGGGTGCAGATATTGTTGGTACACCACAGGGGGGTTCTGAGCCCAAGGATGGTCTGACCAGTTGAGTTAGGGTCTTTCCCAATCTCAGAATGGTCAAGTCAGTTTCTGGCCTTGAGACCAGGCTACAGGCCATATTAAAGCAGGCCACTGACTGCCAACTTGAATACTTGATACAAACAAATGCATTGCCAGTATTAAAAAGGCTCCCACATGGGAACCTGGGCCCTAGGGACCAAATTCCCCTTATGTCCCTGTTAAACAGCTTCATGAATATTTCCTGAGTAACCATTGTGATATAAGTAGTCGATTTTTTGAAATGCTTGTCTCAATCTGGGCAAAGTTGTAGAATGTTTCACATTTGCTTTGCTTATCCAGGTGAGCAGATAACTGAGCAGACCTGTATGTAGCTCATAGCTGAGGATTTAAGTACAGCTATTCAAGAAATTTGTGTCCTACTGGCACGTTTTTTTTGGTTTTCCCCCCCAGCACCACGCCCAAATACAGCCGATGTGCAGCGCAGCGGAAAAGTGACAAACACGGATTGGGTCAGCCCCGTACCTCGATCTCACAACCACATTTGGGAATTCTCCCACATCCTTACCCACATCCACCACATCCACCATCATTTTTTTTGCACGAATTTTTTTTCATAAATTTCGATCTCGATCTGGTTCAGTCCTTGGTACGTCCCTTCCATATCCTCTCTCCACTGCATTAATTGCTTGCCAGTCAAACAAGGGTGCTGACTGTTCTCGTTTTGACCTCTAGTCATGAGGGTACGACCCGGTAAATACGACGTTGGCTTGAAAGTACTGGCGGTGCAGTACCTACGTGCTGGAAAAACCGTCGACCAAGTTCGTGGGATATTGAAGTCTCCCGTCAGCTACCGCACGGTATCTAGATGGTATGGTCTATATCAACGAACCTACTCCGTCATCCGCAACCCTGAAGACTATCAGCGTCTCGGAAGACACACAGCCTTGACCGATGAAGACCGCGATTTCATCTTGGAACTCCTCGAAGGCAATCCAGCCCTGTACCTGGACGAGTATTGTCACGCTGTTTATCGCCGCACGGGCACGTGGATCTCGTTACAAACCGTGGCAAGCGATCTCAAGGATCGCCTCAATATCACTCTCAAGAAAGCTCGGACCGTCCACCCGAACCAGAGTGCGTCAAAGCGAGCTAGGTATTTACATGCAGTAGGTGCTTTGACCCCAAATATGCTCGTGTTCTTAGGTCAGTTCATGGGTTACATTCTGTTTGTAGATCCCTGTCTGTAAAACTGCCCATAGCTGACCTGGTGTCTCTTGTTTTAGACGAGTGCTTGATTCAGGAGCGTTATCTCGGACGGCAGTTCGGCCGGGCCAGACAAGGACACCGAACGTCGCGTATCCCTTGGAGCCGTGGTGGGAAACGGTTCTCGCTCCTCCCGGCAATCTTCCGGGGTGGAGTTTTGGCACTCGACTGCCAAGAAGGATCGTACGTTCGTCAGGATTTTGAAAGCTTCCTTAAGCATCGATTGGTACGTGTTTTCTTTTGTTTGATCTATGCTTATGGATATTGACCTAGTGCTTCGTTTGTGGATGGTCACAGTTTCCGGTTATGAATCCCTACCCCCAAGCCAACTCTGTTTTAGTAATGGATAATGCTCGCATCCACCATGGTGGTAGGATTGCCGAGCTGGCTTCCAAACATGGTATACGAGTATTGTATCTGCCTCCTTACTCACCGGATCTCAATCCAATCGAAAAAGCTTTTAGTGTCCTTAAATCACACTTTTGACGCACCCAGGCGCTCATTCACACCGCGGCGGACACGAAGATTGAGGTGATTATGAATGCCATGTGGAACTTATTCTCGGGTGCTCTGATGCACAAGTTGTACTCGGTTTGTGGCTATTGGATGTAGCTATTGTGATTAGCTGGTTATGCCCCATGATGTAGACAAACGATTTTTTTCTCTCATGTGCTTTGACAATATAATCACACCTATTTACAGGCCAAGTCCTCATGTGTCTTTTAAGAGGTCCCAAAATAAGAACCGAGTGTCCAAGTTGCATGCCTATGTTATTCAAACAGGGTATAACCCATGAGCCTCACAAAACGTTAATATCAGATGAGTCATGTTATCCAAATCTATCTCTTCCCAGACTTTGATGGTCCAAAATAGTCGAGCATGTTTGTGTGAAACACAAAAAAAAAGACACGAGATGATGTGTGACACATCTCACATCATCACATGACCTTGAATGGCAAAAGAAACTCATGTTTCTTGACATTCGAGCTTGAGATTGAACGTAAAGAGACTCAAATGTGAAAAGAAGCCCATGTTTCTATTCGCATTTGAGTCTTGACATCGAATGAATAGACACTTATGCTTCTTTGTTGTACTGGTGGGCAATGGGGCAATGGGGCAATTCGGGCATCGTTTCAAAGGAGGCAAACATATTGAGGGCTTGGTCATTGCATCAGGATACACTATCAGTCAACATCACCGCATGATCAAGACACAAAAACCAGACAAGTCACAAAAAAAAGAACCGCGTGTTGAACTCAATCAAGACACAAAAACCAGACAAGTCACAAAAAAAAGAACCGTGTGTTGAACTCAAGAGAAGAAATTTGGGGTGATGTAACGCTTTTGAAACAGTCACAACCCACAACTTTAAAAAGCGGACAACCCACAACTTTAAAAAGAAGAGAACAGCTTGGTATCGAGATAGGAGAGTATGAGGAGATTTATATTGAAAGAAGAAAAAAATGTTAGCCTCAAACAGATTTCAAGTGAAGGTTGTACTTCGGAACCGCCTTATAGATGTCATCTGCGTGAGCAAATGGGATTCAAAGGGCACGTAAATTTTCAAATGAGTAAGTCTTGCAATCCAAAAGACGACCAAAATCATCAATTCCTTCTTGAGCCAAGATTTCGCGAGTCTTCACCATCTCAGGACGTATTCCCGCAAAAGACAAGAACTCTTTGAAAGGGGGAATTTTGGGTGGTGGTGACAACCGAAGAGATTCGACCGGTACTGCAGGCGTTGGAAGTGTATACATGGGAGGCGCGCCGAAAGGATGGCCAAAAGCAGGGGGGGGTACAATCCCAAAGGGTACTGGGCGACAGGCAAAGGCTGTTGTTGACCATAGTAATTATGGTGTACAACAGTTCCTACACTGGATGAAGCGTCAGACGAGGTAGGTGGGTTGAGTCCGAGGAGTTTGTTCTTCTCGATCTCGTAGTGGGCCACTGGGATCCAACAAAATTTGGGTCTTTTGGAAGGGGGGTTGACTTCATCAACACCGCGTACCCCGTCAGCCTGGTACGAAGGAAATGTAAGTCACAGAATATCACCGAAAAAGGAAGGAGGCACTCGGGAAAAAATATTGAACTCACCCAATCATTGGCCCATGTTCTTATGCGAGAGGTATTAAGCAGTACAATTTCACCTGGGTTTTTTGGGTTGGCCACCGAGGTGACATTTTCACCTCGCTTGAAGTCTTTGGCAAAGCGTGTCATCAATGTTCTAAGTTTTCTTTTGCCTAGGCTTAGGATGGCCGACTACCAAAATAGAACGTCAGTGCAGTGTTCACAAAAAGGTAATGGCAGGTTAACCACTTACACCTTGGGAGCCTGCATTGGAGACCTCACCGTCGGATCCTTCGGAAGGCTTGCCGGCGTTTTGGTCAGGCGCGTAGCGTAGATTCGCAATGAAACGAGTGGCAGAATCAGCCAGTTTGGGGTTCTCATGATGGATCTTGAAACCCATAGCGGTCGAAGCTGGAACAAGCTGAGTGGCGGTCATGAATTGCTGAAAAGATTCGTTATCATCAATGACCATTTTGACTGCCTTGATTTTACGAGTACCGTTGACGAATCCTTGAATAGTGACCGTTTGCGAATTGCAAGCCTTACTAAGAGCTTCGGAAACCCGGGGAAGGGTCTTGTTGCAAGAGTCGAAAAGCTTTGGTTTGAAAAGGGTAAAGTGAAGCTGGGCGTTGGGATTGGTGATAGTGAGTTTATTGTTCTGTACTTTGGGGTAGTAATTTTTGTACTTTGGGACAGCGGTTTTGGACTGGCTAGGTCGCGAGCCACCAGGGGTTTTGCGTCTCTTAAGGTTAGCAGAATCGTCAGGTTGCACTAGTTGCCAAAGATTAAAAGTCACTTGAAAGGTTCGAGCTGTGTCGGACTCTGCAGCTAGCAAGTCCACAGTTTGATCGTGAGCTGGCGAGTCGGGCGGTAAAAAGTCTGCTTGCAGGTCAACAGGACCGGAACCTTGAGGGTCAGCATGACTTGGCCCGTTGAAAACATGCTCAGGCTCAGCGAGTTCTACATAGGCAATCTAGTCAATATGTGAACGTTGACTCGAAAGAGATTTAACCAAACTCACCATCCACTTCTTCAAGATCCTCGCTATCAACGTCAATGTCCTTCGCGGGCCTCTTCTTCGAAACAGACGCTTGGGTGTTTGGATCAGTAGGCAGGACACTGCAGACGGTTGAAGGCGAACCAATGGGAGTGTTACCCAAAGAAATGGGGGTATCGAAGATCATGGGATTGATATGAGGATTGTAACCCAAAGACGATTGCGACCCAGATCGGGAGAGGCCAGCAGGAGTATGAAAGGACGGGTTATACACGGCATTGGAGAGATGAGACGTTTTCGAAGGATCTTTGAAGGGGGATGTCACTGGCAAACGGCTATCGAAAATTGTAGGACCCAAACCTTCTGACACTACAAGAAACATAACATTTTCTGGGCAGAAAATTAAATTATTTGTATACAAAAATCTGGAAAGGTCAGAAACAGAGCAAAAAATATGAAAAAATATGCATTCTGTTCCTTGGTTTGAGATCTCCAATCTGCATATTTTTCCGTATTTTTGGGGTTCATATTGGTGAGTGTACTAACAATAAACCCTCATAATCACCAGATTACCACCTGTAACAGATGCTGGAATTTGGCTGATCAATGCTGAGAGAAAATTTTGATTACTACATATCCAGATGAGTTTGTCAGTTTTTGCTCGGATCACTCGATTTTGAGTGCATTGGAAAGTGGGTATTCGCCTGAAGATAGTTCTC